CGAGGATCCAATTAGCGAAACGTTACGCGAAACGATCGTAACGTTGATTCAATTTTCCTAAGCGTATAACTCCTTAATTACTCGAGGCTGCTATATTGTCGTGATTATTCAACGTTATATGCATACACGACAGAAAAGTAACTATGCGAAAGAAAGAGGTCACCGAACGACTCAACCTATGCACTTGTTCCAATCAGGTTTACAAACATGCACCAATTACTTCAATAGACGCGTATACAATGCATTTTAATGAATTTTTAGTGAATATTTATCGCAACAAAATTTTTACGAAATGATACTATAAAGATATAGAAGTATCTCGTAAACAGTATAAATAAGAAAAAATGAACTTGATTGTTATCTAGTAATCTAGTAATACTATATCTAGTAAATCTAACAATCTAGTAAATAATATATTTAGTGATTAATGGATGTCACAAATTTGACGAAACAGTCATCGATCTCTAACTAACATAGATTTCAAGTAGGACCTATCATTGGAACAGCTTATCTATAGTAATAGAAAAATGTAAAATGTACAGATAAAAAATGGAAAATTTATTAATAGGATTTATTAGCATTCATAGTATTCTCATTAGCATTTAATGAAATTAACAATTAATTAAAATTGCACACTATAATACTAAAAATATGCAATCAATAATTAAAACCTAACTGTTTATTTTAGCCTACGTTTTTTATATTTCTACATTTTTGGCGATGTATGAAGGATACTGAATAAAAATGGCCGAATAAGGTTCCTTATCATAACTAAATATTCAAATTGTATATACTGGCTCCAGCCTGTTTGATTCGGTTTAATATAGCGCTTAAGGTAGCCTTTATTACTTAAATGGTAGCTCACGAGTGCACCACTTGTCTGTGAATAGTGAGATATGGTAGATATATGTCTGGATTTAAAAAGATTTTTTATCATAATTCCAACAGGAAACCAAATCTTCTCAAAAGGTATTACCATTGTTTGAATTTTGTATTTAGCCAAAATTTGTTAAGTCATACTAATCTATGAGAACAAATTAAAAATAAATAATAAACCGACTATCTGAATAGCTGATTTATGAAATAATTTTTCCATTGTAATAAAATCCATAGATTATTTAGTTGGCTTAAAATTACTTTCATTCACTTGACACGAGTGATACTCTTCAGACATAATTCCCATATAGTTATGAAGATTTACAGAAATCTAATAGAAATCTGTCGCTCCTAAAATCTAATTTATAGGAAATAATTCACGGATCTTAATTAACCCTCGAACAGCGGATGATCTTAGCAACGTGCAAAGAGTTCGTGTTGCCTTCAACCTTTCTGCAAATATAGAATATACATTAAAATAATTGCAACTTGGGAGCGACGTACGTCTAGATCCGAATGGATTCGCCATCCGCCAGGAGTAGGGTTAATACATATATTCGAAAAGTAGTACATGTGATATAATTTATTATCATTCGTCATTTACATTCAAATATATCAATTTTTGTGAAACTGCCCAAAGGACTAAATAACAAATTTATTGACTTAGATTATTCCACGTGAATTGATAGATACGCCAGATTATTCAATGAATATGAATGTTTATTAACAAATTATACAGGATAGTTTTAAACATACAATATAATATTGAATAACAAGTTGACCAGATTTTTTGACGCTTACAAAACTACCGAGTTCCAGATGAATAAACATAACCTTCATTCTTAGCCAATAACATCTCAAATTCAAGCTTCGACTAATATCGAAACCTCAAAGGGACAACTATCCAAATGACGAACAACATGCTTTTGGACGTAGAGGTCAAACACGGCTGGTCGTTAGGCCAACTCAGTGATAGTAAAATGTAAAAGGCTGGTTATCTAACACACCCCTGTGCCCTGTTCGAGTTAAATTACTATAGAAGACTTTATCCACTTTAGGCATCGGCCGTCAGGCAATCATCCTATTGCCGTACCATAGTATCATGAATGATGGTAAGAAAAGCTACCGAGAGCCGGTTGCCACGAGTTCCCCTGAAATACTGTGTGCCGCTCACTCACTTGTATTCCCACGGTCCACTTCGCGGCGAGAAAACAAAGTGAAACGATATTTTCAATCGTAGCTGCAGACCACTATCAAGACACGTGGTCCGACTTGACGGATGTCGCGGTAGTTGATATGTTTGTCAGCGACTGGCTGACATTTTAATGGGCCAGAGAAGGATAAAGCACAATTGTTACCAATTTAAGGTAATTCGAGAACGGATGGGTTATCGAGAGAGACAAACGATACGCGTGCAATCTCCTATCGCGAAACAACAAAGAAATGAAACAAGTATGAGAAGCACTTCAGTATGTAGAAGCTTAACCATTGCGAATTATAAACACAAAAAAATTTTATAATATAATATGGACAAAACATTTTGGTTTATTTAATTCTTTATTAAAATAACGTTGTCAGCAAATGCAATAAAAGACTAACGAAAGCCACCCTAAACCATGAGAAGTAATAGAGTGGTTTTCGAAAAGCAATATAGAAATAGTACCCAACAAGGGAAATAATAAACTCGTAATTCGCTAATAATATTAGGTTATGTTTGGAAAATTCGTAGCGGAAGTTAAGAAGCTCATCATCTAAAAACGATTCTTTACGTTGACAAACGGAAAAAAATTGTCTGAATACAACTTCTCGAAAAGTTCGATTAGATTAATAAAAATATTCTATTATAAATGTTCGAATACTTTAAAGAATGTAAAATATAACTGCACTGTACGTTATATTTTTGGCCAGTTAAATCAAAAGTGGGGTTTAAATAGTATTTTATGCGAAGTGCGAGAATGAGATACATTTAAATTTTTCCTAAGGAATTCGTCGTGCGAAACGTTGCCAATCCACAAAGCTTCTTATTGCGTCTCTTGCCACTTTAAGAAGCAACTGTGAAATAATGACCCAATTAGATGTCATTTATACGTGACTCATATTGCCAATTTATCCATGTCCGGCTGCCAAGCATTAATGCCTTACGTGTGTGATTATCCACATTTGGTATAGAAAGGTAAACCGCCTCGAATAACGCATAGACAACGTCGATAGACACCTGCGAGCTTTAGTTAAGAGAAATCGTTTATCGTACGGCTTACAAGACCTTCCATCAGCAAATATTTCTAATCTCATAGATAATTACCATTCGCGATGAGAAAGACTGAAATTCATAGATCAAGCTTGATCCTTTAAAGATACATGTCTTTAAAAAGAATCTGTGTTTAAGTACTACAGTATAATGTTTGAGTAAATGTTTTTATAGTGTTTAAGTATATAAGGGACACAAAACGGTGGTATTTAATAAGTCGGTAGATTAACAAATATTTTCTTTTTCAAATAAATTAAATACTCGATAGAAATCCGTTTACATGAATTTCATTTATTTGAACGCTATTTGAAGCTTTATTTGGTACGCGATTATTCTGAAATAAACTGCTATCCTAGAAACGAGAAATCATAAATAGCAGGAAGAATCTATAAACTACTTATCCTTTGAATAATTTAGGAAGGAGAATAAACTAATCGCAGAAAACCAAAGAGGCAAGAAGCAAGGACGAAGACGGAAGTTGGAAAGATTGTTGTTGATAATAAGCGTAGATATTTGTAGTACCAAGTTATGTGCAATATGAAGAAGCTTATAAAAAATTGTCGTACTTCGTCCTATTTCAAAACCGTCACACTTCACCGTATTCGTGTCAGGAAGAGAAAAATATAAACCTACTTTTTGCGTTCACTGTACATTGGAGAAGATGGAGCAAATAAGTCTTAAACAACCTTCATCAGAAGCAGTTGAACTTCCGCTATTCATATTACATAAACATATATCATTATTTTATTCAACTTTTAACACATTCCATCCTTTTTAATCTATTTTGCACTAACTATTTTACCTTAAACTTCTTTTCTACATCTTTCATATATCGTGCGAAGAATTAAAAAAAAGAAGTCTATACGCTAAGTGACAAGTAAAAGACAAAGAGCGATTAAAGATGGTTTAATATCGAGACAATGTAAAAATAAAGTGATTGATAATTGTCGTTAGAGCGTCTAGCAGCGACTCTAACCACTGAGAGGGGGCGCAAAACTAGCTAGTTGCTGAATGACGTAGTAGCTCTCATTTTCTTGACCACCTAGTATACACATCCGGTCGGCTCGGTACTCTGCAACTTTCCTACTTCATTCATCGACGCATTCTGTGGCCTTTGAAGGTTGCACAGGCAGAAAAGAGCGGGCACGGTCGCGCGCCGCCGATCAGAGTCAGTCGGCGTGCACGCCGCGCCGCGCCGACCAGTTTCAACATAATAATTCCTTCTTGGAAATACGCCGTGACTACCACTACATTCTACACCATCGCGAATACCAATCGTATTCGTTATATGTGAATCGACGCGCCAACACTTTGTGACGATCGTCTTCTTCCCAGACGTTTTTGTCCCTCTTTTTGTCCTATAGAGAAATATCGTCCAAACAATTACGTGGTTATGTAACCGTAGAAATATTACTACTATGGTAAAAACAAATTTTATACGAAAGCAAAATTATGTTTCTTTTTTTAGATTGGACATAATATTTTTGGTAATATAAGGAATTTCTCGATGATACGATTTAGGATACGAGTAGGAAATTTTAAGGTTATGAACCTTAATTGTATAACGATGGAGGGTGAACGTATTTATAATTACTTACTAATAAAGATTCTAATATGACGACGTAGAATCTAGAAAACTTTACAACGACTGTAGAAAGTATTTGGCACACCGTTTTATTTATTGTAAACTTTACATACTAAGTAATTAGATTCAAGTGTATTACTGATTTCATTTTAACAAGCAAATATAATGTTTAAAAAAATATAGTTGGGTAGAGATTAATAGAGTTCTAGTTCTTTAAAATTAATAGGTAACTTTACTTAAAATTATTGAATAATTTTAAAACTTATTAACTTCCTTCGTGGATCATTTGAAATAATTCTTTTGAAATATGTTTCTCATTAAAAGAAGTTTCTCTTAAAAAGAAGGCTATCTACCGACAATTCAATGGAAGACAAACAACATGAATGGTGGACCCATGCGACTGCACAGCAGGAAGTTATAATAACAGGGAGCACGGCATCAATGAAATGGGAAACTACCAATGACTGGAATACTATCGTCATCCCCAACGATCTCTACGTCACCTTTAGGTTAGCAACTGTGACGTGGCTGGCTTTCACCAAGCGCGCCAGCGGCATTGGAATAAGTGTTGCAATTTCTTGAAATCCATATACAATTTTGATTAATATAATCTTATAATACATTATAATCTTATTGCTCGATAAAGTTATATCTTTATCGTTACTCTTAAATTAATATATTTTATATTTCACAAAAATAGTAGCAAATCATTTATTGCATAACACGTTGACTGTCGGGTAATTTTAAATTGAGTACACGCTTCATTTTGTGAGCACTTCCTGGTGCATTAAGTAATTTTATACTGTTATTTCAATATTAAAATTATTACAAATTTTTTACGAGGAAAGAATATATTTGTGACTGTCCTTTTTATTCAAGTATTCTAATTAATTTCGTTAGCGTTGGTCACTATATCTCTCATAACAGGATCGATAAATCTAAAGGTAACTTCTATGGCAAATAGTTTGTTAAATGGTAATAGATATCGTTCCTTTGCGTTACTTCTCTATGGAATTTGAATTGCTACAATGATTCAAATGCTGCCAAAAAGAAAAGAATAAATACTATATCAAATTTTCAAGATCGATACATTGTCACACTTCGTTGTCATGATTGCACCAACCACTGTAGCAACTATAACAATTAACCTTCGATACTTAGTATCAACTATAATAATATACTTGTTATCACGTATGTATACAAAGCGAATTCGATAAACGAACAATAAGAAATTAATTCCAAACAAAACCTCACTGTATCGTATATCCGATTATAGTGGCTTAATCTCTGAAGAAACATTCTCCGTGAATAATACAGCGGCGAGAATACGGCTAAGAACGGTGGCCGATAGCAGGCGAACTCCGCGTTCCATCGAAAATTCCGTTCGTTCGATTCCCAGGGCGCACACAGGTATTCGCGCTTGTGACCGTGCACGTGCGCGAGAGCACTCTTTCGAGGGGAAGGAGGTTATCGACGGCGCCTCGCTGAGAAGGAGAGTAAAGAGAGAAAGGTGAACAGAGGGTAGGGACGAGAGAGGAAATATAGAAGAGATAGTTGAGTCACTTACACATTTACAACATGCACGTTACATTCAAACGTACATGTACAGTGAGTTTGTATGGAGCAGTGGATAACAGTGTGAACCGCGTGCCGGAATACACCAATGGTCAATGGTGGGGAGAAATCGTGAATGATCCATAGAAGCCTGTACCGTTGTGTGCACCATTCAAGTAACCTGTGTTAGTATACAGAGGGTTACAAAATATGTAGCGCATATTTCAGTCTCTCAGAAGCCATGCTGATAAAATTTTGACCACTATATCAGAGTGAGAAATGTGAAATATCGTTTCTTCGAAATTTGAATATGGCGTGTCAATACCATCCGTTCAATCATGCCCTATCGTTAATTATCAAGCGTGTCAAAGAAAAAGAAATTTATATCACGGATATCCAATATTAAGAAGATTTATAACGAAAGTATGAAACTTCATTATTGTGACAACAATGTACGAACAAAATAAAAGTAATAAAATTCTTATATATAGAATGTACAGAATCAAATAAGAAATATTTGGACTTTTCGACTTTGAATTAACCTTTTTAGAGCCGCGAAATTTTAAAATTGGCATTGTTTTGGACTATTAATAATCAGGTATTTCACGAATTACATATAGTCGAACTTTCCAACTTTCTTATCGTTAGAGAACTTTGAACTATGTAAAATATCAGAATTATTAGCGACTTTGCACGAATATTGTTAGAACTGCAACGGTAATGAAATTTCAAAAATTTCACATAATACACATAACACGTTCGTCAAAGTTTTGTACGATAAGAATCCAAACATCTTCGCGAGCCACTGTATTTTGCAACGTCCTATACAACGTGCGATGTATAGATGGAAGGGAATGGACTAGTAGTGGAGTCTGGTGGGAAACGTAAAACTCGGAGTGGGGATAAGCAGACGGAGGAGTGAGGAGCGGTTAAAGGTTCGGCTTCGGAAATGGCCGCGGGAAAGTAGAGAGCGTTACGTCGTCTGGCAGGCGAGCCGAAGTTTTTCGTGTAGAGCGCTCGTTAACCCGGCGCTTCGAGCGTTAGTTCAGCAGCTCACTCTTCAACAGACAACCATGTTTTAAAAACCCGAGAAAGGAGGTTCGATTTTTAAGAATCGCGATTAGTGCCTACGACTAATCTGGTCCCTCTCTGTGGTGAGAGTGGTTCCAACTTCTGACACACACACCGGTGTCTCAAAGAGATCAGAGAGTGCGTGCACGAGGATGGCCGGCGACGACGGTGCACCACCGGACAATGAGATCCTCACGGATGGAGAGGGGCAGGGTGCGTCAGTGCGGGGGGAACCGCATTCCAGAGTGGGCGGCATCCTGGAATGCGATCCCCCCGGTAACAAGAATTCGTCGAGCCAGCGAGTCTCTAACGACAACGACTACGCCGGCGGAAGCGCTGATACTGTGATTCCACAGGATCGTAACGGAGGCGGTGGAACACCGATTGCCGGTGATAACGGCGCTCTGTGCCGATATGCTATCGGCACTGCACATACCGCTATGTCTTTTATCGAAGTTTGTCAGGTAACCACACACATATCGATACTTTCGCTTTAGTTAACTTAGGTATTAAGTCACCGAACTAAACTTTCATTTAACTCGACTCCGTTGTCAATAAGCTATATCCTCGAATTTCCTCTCTTTCGCGCCTATTTCTTTCTTCTTCTAACTCGCGCGTAGCTCTTGCCGCGTTTTCGAGGAAGGTCAATAAAGTCGGATTTCAAAATTAAACCTCTCGCTCTCTTGTTTATTTTTGTAATTTATTTACTAATAACTGTCTTCTTAATAACTGACTTTGACGATTTTCGTCAAATTGCTGAAATTTAGGATATTTAATTCTATTTCGTATTTTACATTCGCCGTAATGGAGATTAAAAATTCCCAAATTAAATAATCTAATCCTAGATTGTTGACTCCCTGATGATATGTTAAGATTTAATATACGAAAACACTAAACTATTCGATGTTCTAAGTAATGAGAGCGAAGCACCGTTAATCGTCTAGTTACTATTCCGCTTTCTCACACATATGTGTATTTACTTCAAAAAATTGAGTGTGACTAATTTGTTAAAATAACGAAGAAATGATCTCTTTCAGATCCGATTGCAGAACTTTTTTCCGCAGCTGATTTCGTCTTCGCGGTATACTCTCTGCGAAGATTCCATAGAACGAACAGCAGAGTGTTTAGCCAACGATGTGATACGGTATCTACTGAAGGAAGATATATATCTGATATCTCAAGACCCAGTTTCCCGTAGTATGAGACACAACGTGTATCAAATGTTGAATAAACATAGTATTCTCTTCGCAAGTATGGTAAATCGTCTAAACGTTGTGCCAGATACGGCATACGAAGCGTTCATGGGAGTTGCGGACGAATTGTTCTTACACGGTGGAGTTACATGGGCGAGAATCGTTTGTCTATATGCATTCATGGGCAGACTCGCTCTGTGGGCACGGGATAGACGAATGCACACTCTAAAGAAAAAATTACCTCTTTACGTCTCCAGATTTATTGGTGAGAAAGTTGCACATTTCATCAAAGGATACGGTGGATGGGTAAGTACTGTGTTTCCAAAATTAGGATACAAATACATAGAAATTGTAGTTTGGACACACAAGTTTTTGTTACATTGACATATGCACATATTGTATTTCCTTAGGAGCAACTGTGTATAGAATACCCTGTGGCAGAAGAAATAAGTGGAGCAATTTGGAGAAGTCTTATAATGACAGGTGCTACACTTGGTTTGGTTGCAACGATCTTAACAGTGACCTCCTGATATACTCTTAGAAATTAATGTATACAGGGTATGTTTCGTGTGAGATCTTCCAGTGTACTTATTTTTTACCAAAATATGTCGAGAAATGATTTCTGGAAGCTTACATAAGTTTCTATATTGGCACAGAAAGTGAAATTGTGTGATCCAAAAGGTATCTTAAAGAATAAGTACAGGATATAAATTAAGTTTCAACCTTGCAGCCTGCACAATTATCGTATCAATGTCACTCAACTTAGAATCATCCTACATTTTATATAACTCCAACAAATATGTAACATAAGTGAACGATAACGATACAAGTTTCCTATTATATTCATATTTTATAACAACTGCAGCTCGATGGACTAGTTAAATTAGCGAGAAAACAAATTTTATTTAATATTAATCTAGATATTTTATCAAAGTAATTTCATATAATACTCAAAATTGACGTTTTAGGTATTTATACCAAACAGGAATCTCAAAATTCTGTCGAATTTAGGTAGAATCAATCTAAATGTATTTATTTATAATTTATTCTAGGTAGAAAATATATTAATAAATTTCCTTGTCAATCAAAGACCATCATAATAAATGCTTGGAACTTATAAAAAAAGCAGTTAAAATAACAATGCTCACTGAATATACAGCAACATTCTCTTAAACAGCAATGAATATTATACGTGATAGTTTCTAATGATATTGCAAAAATTTTTATACGAGTATTCGGAATAAATATTTCCACAAAACCTCAGTTCTGTTAGTTGTATCAGTTATTTTTAAACCTGTAACAAGAAAAATCATTTACAAAATAATGTGATAGGCTTAATATTATATATATATATTACATATTATATATATAATATTATATATTATATATATAAGTATATATACATACTTGGTACTATATTTTGCATGAATGAAATATTTAGTTGATATATTTCCAACTTTTTAAATATAAAACTTTAGCAAATGCAAAGGAGGCTAGATAATAAAATCCAAGTAGCTGATTTTTATAACAAATGTTCATTCGTTGGATCTAATCGAAGATTTTAATGTCTTATTGTACACTTAACGACTATTGACTATAGTATTACTTGATAATACATACTAAATGTTATCGATGTCATATATAAAATATATCACGAAAAATATAAAACCTTAATACATTTAAAAAGAATGAAAAATAATTATGTATTAAATAAGGTCACTGTTAATTTCAAAAACGATTACTCTTAAATATACTTGCTTATATGTATTATAATACTTTGCAGAAACTGATTCGTATGAAAGTCGTATTATTACCAAAAAAATTCAATTTTAAAAAAGGTATTATCTTAAAAAAGAATTAATATTTTCGCGGTAGAATTATTAAAAATATATTTAGTAGATATTGATATAGTTTTATTTAAAATAGCATACTTATTCAAACGTAAATACAATCTACGTACTACTCAAAATATATTGATTTATTATTTGATACCAGAATGCAAAGATTTCAAACCACAAAAATTTCTAAAATACAGAATAATTAGTAATGAGAGTATCTATAATATGTCCTGTATCCTTTTACCTTCCGTTTAATACGGTACCAGCGTAAAGTATCGATGTGTTTAATCTTTAGATTAAGATAATCTTTTAGATTATTGGAAAATTAAACACATACTTTTACTAATGACATACTTTACTAATAAAATACTTTACGCGATTTCTGTACACATATCACCAGTTATTGAAAACTATTAAAAAATTTGTAAACCGGGTATTTGTTTCTTCGAATAATATCATTACTTTTATGAAATTCTTGTTGCTATCCAAAAATCTCAGCATTGTTTGAATGTATTATGTTTTTCGAGATATGTTTAACAATTCAAATCTAAAACCAACTACTGAAATTTATCGCACAGGTCTTAATAATAATAATCGAATGATCGATGTATGTATAAATTACACAAAATTTGTTAAATTTCTTTAAATACTTTTTAACGTTTGAATATAAAAAAAGAAATAATTCCTTGATTATAGTTTATAACTTTATGCATTACATGAACATACAATACAAAATCATAAACTTGAGAATAATTTGCTGTGAATATATCTAACAGTTTTTCTTATTTCTACTCAGATCTTGTGACTGTACAGAACACAATTGCTTTTTTTATTTTCTTTTAATTGTTATATCCTAACGAGGATAATAGTAAGAATCAACAATTCTTTTTAATAAACCTTCAAATGTTTCTACTTTAAGGTTGCTAATATCGATATTACAACTATGTATAAGTATGTATTATGCATTTACGTGTGAATATATAACTATATAACTATACAAACGGAACTCATTTCGTTCCCCACTTATATAACAATAAGTGACCAACGTACCACAATCATTAACCATCAATTACTTGATTAATGATATATGAAACATATCGTCAGTATTAAGAATATCTCTCACCAAACATGAAATAAATTTTAAAGAAGCAACGATCACATATTAAGTAAAAGGAAAATGTTTAATTTCTTCTTGCTTTTAAATAAAAAAATAAACGAAAATATTTGATATTTCCATACCTTTAAAATTGAGTGGTTTGGATATAAATTATATTCAATTTCCTATTCGGTATATTAATGCTGAATAATGTGAATTATTAATCCCTACAAATGTTGGACCCTGTTTTAATAATTTGCTTAAAGCAAGAAAATATTATAGTTTACTAATAATTTAAGTATCTTTATTTTTTACTTATGAAACAATTTTCGATCTTTTATTTTTACAAATGCAAAAAATATTCGTTTTAAGAGTATAATTTCGTTGAAATTATGTAAACAAAAACAGAATAAAAGGTAAAGAAATATAATTTTATCTAGAGATTGCAGACAATACTGACGACATGATCACTTTAGTTCAGTTTCTCATAAAGATTGGCAGTTATAGCCTGGACGTATTACTGTCCAAAACAGAGCAAAAATGGTAAGACATTTTATGAATCTTATCCGCACCAGTATCCTGTTATATCCAATTATTCCTTTATAAATCGAGTGCACAGGATTGACAATAAAAGACAGATCAAGGTAGTCTAGTTCTATATTAGCCTTTTCATGTACTATTCAAAGCATTCTCGAAAAGTTTTTAACCATAGATCAAATAACACTTTTCCGGAGAATCTTATAGTAGTATGAAAAGGGATACACAATGTATTATACTATGGCATTAAAATATATTAAGCAAATTTTTCGATAATCCTTTTTTTTTCAATACAGCAACACACTTCGATTTCTTTTATATCATCGTTTATCATTCGACATATTTAATATATAAAATTCATTTGAGACTTGAAAATATTATTGCAAGGCATGTTTATGAGGGATTGAAATATGTAACGATAAACAGCACACAGCAAGCGCAAATTAGCATCGTTAATTAATGCGAAAGTATTTTACAATTAGCCTGATGGTAATAGGATTCAATTTTAATAAATTCAAAAATTCATAACGATATATGTGTTGCCACAGATCATATTACGTTTAAAGTATATGTAACATGTAAATCACTTGATGACATGCTCTATTTTTGTTTTCTGTCAGCTTTCTTGATTTATCACAGCTGGGGCAAAAGTGTCAACAGTGAAATCTTGTCTCGTATGCCCAAAAAACAAAGTTGGTTCAGGTCTCTATTCGACATAGTCCCACCAATCTTTTTCATAACCTTCATGTACATGTTCCAAAAGCACTTTCCTCCGGCTATCGCAATATCTTAAAATAAAAATAATACACACATGTATATATGCTCTATATCTTAAACAATTTAGTTCTTGATTTAATAGAATTGTGTTATAATGATAAAAGAAGGAAAAAATATGTTTACTAATTAATGACCTACCTATATTTGTCTTGAACCTTTTGTTTAATATCAGCAAGATTTTCACTTGTAATATCTCGTTCAAGATATTCAGAGAGGCGTTCTGTAGTGCCCTCTAGATCCTTTTGGTTGTCTTCAAAAATCACAGATTGGTTATTTTTTCGCACATAATAAGCAAAAACATAAGTATACATAAGAGTCTGTCTACAGGAACACAAAATGTCTACTGCTTTCTTTAAAAATTGTACCTGAAAATGACTCTTTTATAAAATGCTGCTTTTCGTTTCATTAAACTACATTCGATTTAGCTATAAGTAATTTTACCTCAATCCATGACATGTTATGTTGCTGCATTTCTTCCATTTTTTCTTTTACACTTGCATATAGTTTACTTTCAAATTTCAATGATTGCATGTGATTTATGTATCTATTACAATAGAATAGATATCTTTGTAATGCAGATCGCGATTTTTCTTGAGCATCTCGTGCTGCTTTAGCTTCTTCTTCATCATAACGGTTACAATTATACCAGCTTGAACCATGTGGTTCCCATGGTCCAAGACACACCCAACAAAAGTCAGTTTTACAATTTTGATTTTTGCACACCATATGATTACAGCCACCATCTTTTTCGATAGTGACGTTACATTTTGGGCATTCTTTTGTGTTTGCTGCAATCCAATTTGACGTTTCAGAATCATCGTCACACTTCTTTATCCATTTGCGCAACAAATGGCATTTTACTGGATCATGCCAATTTTCACCACAATGGAAACAGAATGTATGTCCACATTTACAGGTTACTGGTCTTGCTTCTACATACTGCACTTTTATTGCATTATTACAGTCTGGAGATGGACACCACCTTAATAACCTATTGCACTATAAAAAAAAAATATTAAATAGTATTGTTGTCACATAATTTTTCAATAAAATGAAAGATTAAAAAATATGTACTTCAACAAAACTATTTGTTATTAAATGTTGATATTTCAATTTCACTTTAGAGTCTTTTATAAGACGCATAACACTGGCATCATCAACTAAAATGTCACAAGCATGTGCTGCACATGCAATCGTTTGGCCAACTCCTTCTTCCATAATTTTGGTTGTGAGATACTCTCCCCAACAGCCAGTACAAAAGCGATGTCCACATTCGAGTCCGGTCATCATCTAAATTTGTTTTGGATATATTTAATGCATACAAGCATCGATTTCAGATTTTAACACAAATTAGTATTTTGTAGGTATTCATATACATACTGCAGATGGTTGAACAGTAAAACAAATTCCACATTCTTCTGTACCACTTGTTGAAGTTCTTCTGGCCTAAAAATTTTAAATATATTGTTAATGCAATTATACACACATACACATACACACACACATTTGTTTTTATACATAGTGAATAGTATAGAATTTTATGTACTAGTGAACTTTGAGAAGATTGAGTTCTATTTATTAATGGACCCTTTCTAAATGGATTAACGACTCGTGCTTCTGCAAACAACTTTTCCTGATCACCATCATAAAAACGCTCCATTAATTTTTCTTTATCCCATTTAAAATGATTTAATAATATACGTGTAGTTGTGGCTGGTATCTATAATCAAACAATAAAATATTTCAACTGTAATAACAAAAATTAAAAGTTTTTTTTAATCTTGTGAATAAAACATACTTCTACAACTGTGTTAACTTCCTTAATAGAATCAACCATGTGTTGCACTATTTCCTCTGTTGATAAGACTTCAAATGGATAATCGTCAACATCCGTAGCCCGTTCTCTTAAATTTCCAGCCTCTATTTCCATTGCAAAATCAACATCATCTCCGCTAGACTCATTACCAGAATCAACATCATCGTATGTTTCTTCTTCAGAATCCATTGTGAATCTTCTGATTTATTAAATAATTGAAATACTAATATATCCACTTACTTTATATATTTTGTACCTGTATAAAGAAAGAAATACAATTTATATTATATCCAGTATTTTGACCTTTAAACCAAATCTTGTGAACATTCACTTGACTCATTTGTTCCACTACATTGTAATTGAAAACAATTAAACTATCTGGTGTACGTATATGATAGTTAAATAAAAACAGTACACTAACACATTTTTATTTCAATTTGTACCCCAACTTAAATGGCCACGAAATTATGCAAAAAATAATAGTGTGAACACGAATGTATTTGCAACTGGTTTGGTATTACACTTGATGAATTTCGACACAATTTTGGTTCGAAAAGCTATCACACCTGCACCCGCGAAATACTATTGTAGCGGAACAAGGTGAAAACAGCTTATGTTCAACACATGACGTCATCGTTCGCTACTTCTCGAATAAAGCAAGAAACTTCGTCATGAGTTTACCTTAACTTACTGTCGATAGTAACTAACGAAATTTACAATCACGATACTAAACGATTCTCAAAATAATATGAACAGTTAAAACTTCAAAATATTTTTGCCATCAACGCAAGCAAGAATAAAATCAGCTGCCAAAACATCCGAGTTGAACTCCGGCAGCTGATACACTGAAAGCTATTTTCACGGAGTAAGGATGAATGAGCCATCGTGTTGTTAGCCAATCAGAACACCTCTGTATACATACTACCCAATGACATCCTCTGTTTATTGAATTGATATTTTATATTGTCCTTTTCTTACTATTAATTTTTTGCTTTAAAGTCCATTCATTTTACACAATTTTAGATTTTATATTGTGATCAACTGATTTACATAATTACGGATAATTATACCTCGATGTAAAAAAATTGGTTTAACATAATTTGTTAAACTATATCTTATATTGAAAGAAACATTATGCATATATTAGATTGAGAAAAGAAAACATACTAACACCTTTAGTGTTGAGACTGAATTGAGGCTTAACTATTTTTTGCTCCCAAACGCTTCAATCATTTTAAGTAATTGGTAATGTTTATGAAAATATATAAATAAATAAAAATATCTTGTTATTTTATGGCGTACAGTATACTCCACTTTTGACATATTACGGAAATTAATGAAAACGATAAACTGAATATATAAATATTATTATATACTTGACGAATATAACAATCACAACAATTTTCCACGAATAGTAGAAAGATAACTAAGGAAAATTCACTTTGATATCGTTCTGAGTGTAAGAAGACTAGTAAGATGAAATTGAAGTTCGATTAAGGATTTTAATGAACACCAGATACACTTTATGCTAAATATATATCGATGTTGAAACACATCACAGATATATTACCATGCACGATAATCTTTTTAGCCATTGCACTGGACAAATCACCAAATCAGTAGGCTAATCGAGTAAAACCATAAATTAATCTAGAATGCACCGTTTGCCATGAAGAAAGAGACGAGCTTATAGCTCGAACACTACTGTCACGTCCATAGCAGTATGTGCGATGACTTTTTTCTTCTATCGAGTCAAATACGTTATTTTTTTTTTGCGCGAAAATGTAAGATTTGAGTTGATCGATGTACGACAATAGACACTAAATTTCACGTGATACTATCCGAGGAATTGAGAATCTAAGAGGGACGCGACAACGAAATGTCTCGTCACCAAGTACCGTTTTTACTGACTTTAGTCAACTACCTGAAGTTAGCTTCTTACGCGACGTACAACTGACACACATGGGCGTCTTTACACAAAAATGTTTTGAAAATAATTTTCAAATTATTATTATAATATGATAATAACAATACGTTGATTTTTTTTTAGAAAATTAATAATTATTACAATAAAGTCGCAATTTTATAACCTTTCAGAGTAATAGTTTCTAAATAAGTTACTAATTATAAATAAATTACGAACCTTTTAACTTTCGATCGAGGTTTTAAGTTACGAATGTTGTACAAACTCCAATTCTCTTACTTATTTTGCATAGGGAAATAGATGTCAAGATGTCAATTTTCTTAATAAATTAATGATTACAACCATAAAGTTGCAGTTCTTATAATCTGTAGAAGTAATAATATTGTTCCACATTCTACATAAACTATGAATGTTTAAGTTATTTTATAATACAAACTTCAGTTTTATATAGGGCATAAAAATATGTTAATTCTTATTTTCCAAATTGAGTATATAAAGGACGATTATATACAATTAATTATATATAATATATGCATATAGGGTGGTCCATGCAATTGTTTCAGGTTATAACTCCGTTACCAGTACAGTTATAGAAAAATGTGAAAGGCGAAAGATGAATGGTTCAAAGAATACTACATCCGTAGGATCATGTGCTTTTTAGGAGTGCAATGGTACATGTGAGCAATGAACAAAAGATATTTTTTAAAAATATCTCGATAACTAATAAGTCTTTTATCATTGTACTTCAATACTCTTTTACGTAGAATGTCTTTATATAAAAAAAGAAGTAACCAATACCATTAAAAAAAGGAATAGAATTGTTGACTGCATGTACACCATTACTCTTCTATAACAAACATGACTCTATGGGTATAGTATTTTTTGAACCATTCATCTTTCTCCTTTCGCATTTTTCTCTAACTGTGCTAGTGACGAAGTTATAACTAGACATGATTGCGTGGTATACACCCTGTATATGTGTTATATACATTATACGAGAGGAGTGAGAAATTAAAGTTTAAACAATCGTTTGAAATTTCGGAATATTACGCCAATGTGTGTACGAACGATAAGTGAAGAAGCAGAAGCTCACGGCGCGGCGTTCTGTCAAGTTACGTTAACCTCATAGTGTAGTAATATTCAGGACAAATGTCGAAGTGAATCGAATAAGAGTTACAGGGTAAAATGAGTTTACCCAGCGTAAGTGATTATTCTTTGTTAGAAAAAATCGGTGCGGGGAGTTACGCGACTGTTTACAAAGCCTTTAAGAAGGTATGTATATTTTGAGATTTGATACGTACATATACAAATCATATGATGGCATTATTGTAACTAGGTTAACAGGCGTCACAATTGCACATGTGATTCATTGTAACATAAAATATGTATAATTTCTATTTCACAGCTTTCCTTTAATATGCATGAAATCATAATAGTAAATTTTCATGTTATTTAGGTTTAGATATATCTGAACTGTACGGCAGAAAATTAATACTGTGTTAATAAATTATTGCTTTAAGATAAAAAGTTGCTTAACGTTATATGATGTGTTTAGTTATATTTCTAGTGATTTTATTATATAACAGTAAAACTTACTAGATTATTATATGTATTAATATTATTACTTTTTGGATATACATATTTGCAATATTTGTGTATTGTGTTTCCAGTAATGGAGCTTCATGAGATATGCATATATGTATGTCATATAATTCGGTAAATGAATGACTTTAACAGAATTCTGATTCTGACAGTTTTGAATTAATTTGAATTTAATGAAAGATTAATGCATTTTGTACGCACTGCGACTATTGTGAATTTTAAGCGTGCTGCATATAATACACTTAAAACTGTGGCATACAGTACGGAGAAACATAGTACACATGTTTTAACTTTTTAATTAATGGTCCTCTTATGAAAAATAAAATATCATTGTTTAGTCGTAATTTAAAAATACGAAATATATCTTTGCATACAATAAACAAATTGGTTACAATTATTGACACTTTTTATAATATATTAATAAAAAGTTTAAGTAAGTAAGATTTTTATTAAAGGAAGTACGTTTTTATTATCAAAAAAATTAATAAATTAATATTAACTGATTTAAGCAAGAATGACAATCCACAGCATTAGTATCGTGTAAATAATTTTAAAAACGTACTGCACATATTTCCGATGTTTCCGTCGTCGATCGTTTACGAGATTATACTAACCTTTACACTATTTTTTCCCCGGCATTGATAAACACAGTAAGAAAATGTAACAGGTCATCCATTCAAATTCAACTTGTTTTAATGTATTTCTATGACTGAACATTGAACTGTGTCGATTGTTAGCGCAGAATTGAGAGGCGGCCAGAAAAAGATGTTTGAAAGTAGCGTTATCTCAAGGCGAGGCTAACCCTATGCTATTGTTGGTCGTTTTATAGGATGGATGCCGAGAGGTAGTCGCAATCAAGTGTGTAGACAAATCATCACTCTCCAAGTCGGCTATCGATAATATCGTCACGGAGATCTATCTCCTAAAAATACTGCGCCACGAGAATATCGTCGAAATGAGGGATTTTTTTTGGGACGAAGGGTTAGTTCGTTGAACATCCAACATTCAGAGTAAAAAAAGACTATGAACGCCATAAAAAATATCACGTACATATATACATATGTACATGTATATTTATATGTATATGAACATACGTGTATGCAATATACGGAGTTAAGATTTATTTGCAGTTTTATTTCCGAAATGGAGGATAATAAACGAAATACGTCATCAATATTCTATTAATATTGTTTAAAGTATTAATAATTTATTATACTCTAATATATATTATTGTTTAGGATCTTAATTGATGGATTAGATTTCCAAGTGGTGGCGACACAGTTCTTTTTTATTACTGGTCATTTTATATTTAAAATTTATTCGATATCATTATTTAGAATAATTAGGGGATTTACGTTTATAAAGACATTAATTTAATTTTTAATTAATGTAAAATCATTAATATCTAAATTATATATACGAAATACTTTTGTAAAGCGTTTTCAAGAGCGGTATAATCCTCTAATTAATCTGAACAACGCAGAAAAGTATATCTATCGTTCAGGATAATACAGGCACATATACATCGTAATGGAATACTGTGATGGTGGCGATCTATCGAGTTTTATAAAGAAGAGGCACAAGTTACCCGAGCAAATTTGTCGTCGATTTTTGCAACAACTTGCACTCGCTCTAAAATATCTACGTAATAATAATGTTTGTCATATGGATTTGAAACCCCAAAATTTATTGCTAATCAGAAGGCCACAATTAACATTAAAAGTTGGAGGTCCGTTCTACATTCTGAATTCTTATTTCTTTTGCTAGTTTCATACAATTGAAGTTTTCAGTAATAGGGAGACAGCTCCAATATTCAAATTGTATCTTTTGGAAGAGAAAGAAAGATGTAGGTTTTATGTTTAAAGGTACAAAAGTTTATTACTAGGAATATTGATTGATTATGAATTTTCAGCACATTTGGAAAAATATTGTTTGATAAAAAATTTCTAGCGAAATTAAAAAAAATTTAAAGATTATCCAATAATAAAATTTTCCTGATATTAGATTTCATTTACTTAAATAAAGATCAGGAAAATTATTTCTTAAATATAATTCGGAAATTGTGAAACAATTAGCTTCATCGAATATACAGGGTAGTTGATGTAACTGGTGGTACAAGCGGAAAGGGGGTGATTCTACGCGAAAAAAGAAGTCGAAAATACAGAATACAAATTTTTTTTTTACTTTTCTTTTTTCTTTTTTTTTTAATTTTTCCATCCAGACAACGATCTACAGTGGGATCCGTTTGAACGTGACTAGATAAAGTGCACGCGTACCGAGCGAAAATTCATAGTCGATTTTCTCGAAAACAAAGCCTCAAACGAAAAATTGTTGTTCTATATTTTCGACTTCTTTTTTCGCGTAGAATCACCCCCTTTCCGCTTGTACCACCAGTTACCAACCACCCTGTATAGTAAAATAGATAGACTATTAAAAACGCTAGAAACCTTTTGATTAACCCGACGGATGATTTTCAATTGATTTTTAGTTATATACTCAAATTGCTGTAAAGTGGAGCTGCCTCTTTATATATCAATTTCTTCAATTCGAATTCGACGACATTTAGTCTACGTTCGTTTTAGATTTCGGTTTCGCTCGATTTCTTTCGAATTCGCAAACAAAATTTGCGATTTGTGGTTCTCCACTTTACATGGCGCCAGAAATTTTATTGAAGAACAAATATGATGCTCGTGTTGATTTGTGGAGCGTCGGCGTGATCATGTACGAATGCCTTTTTGGCGAAGCTCCGTATTCTAGCAACAGCTTCCAGGAGCTAGCTGAGAAGATCAAGGACTGCCGACCTATTAAGGTGATTACGTTGTTAATCTGTTTTATGTGTACATATAATGAATAATTAGTATTATCGAATAATTAAAATGCACTGCTTCGTTACTGTATTTGTCTCTGTATTCTTATTTGTCTTATATGTTTCGTCACTTTTAGTTTCTGAATAAATTATGTGTTTTGGCTCGAACTATCTCCTTGCATGCTTAAATTATTTGGTATATTTTGTACTCAAAGAAGTTCCAAGATTAGGCAAATCTTATGAAGAAGATATTAAGAATAGTAGAACTTTGATTATTCGAGCAACGATCAGTTTATTGAGAATTAATAAGCTGCGAAATAACGCATAAATAATGCATAAAAGATACGTAATCGCAACATTATTGCACGATAACTAGGTTAAGGATTTTTATGCAATTTCATATTTTTAGGAACGTGACTTAACATAGATAGAAATTTGTTTTACTCTTTAAATAGTATAGTGAATACTTTATTCTGGATATTTCATATATTCTCGTATATTATGAGCATCCTATATATTTTGAGATTTTTCAATTCCTTGTAAATGCTTAAATATCCGCGGTCTAGCAACAATAAATTCGAGAATTTGAAAATCTGAAGATTCGAATATTTGAATATTTGAAAATTGGAAATTAAGCGTTACAGTAACGCAACATTGATTAACAAAGAAACGGTCTCTTATAAGAAATTGTAAAGCGAGGATAACAATAGAAAACATCGTGGAATTTTTTACTGGAAAGTTTTTGTTCTCATTAAAATATTATGTTATTATATTTGTATGAAATGATCCAAAATAAATAGTCTTTCCTTATGCGAAAAGAAAGTTATTTGATTATTCGAAAATTATAATTGTCCGAACAGTGTGTGATTGTGAATTGAACATGTGAATTGAAGTAAATATGTACATAAGTATAAACTTGTTCTAAGTGCAATGGTGATATGTTATTTCTTAATTGTGTGTTTAAGAAAAATGTTGACTTTGGACGTTTGTATACGTTGAAAGTATGATGAGTTTTTTTTAGTATTGTATAACATATTTCTTTTTTGTTACAATGTACTATAATGCATGTATGCAATGTACATGCAGCTAAGAAAAGCAATGATAATGTGATTTAAATCGCTTATTATGTAATTACAAGGATAAAGGTAATGCAAATGAATAGCAGTACTGTTTCTAATTTTGAAACCATAACATCTGGAAAATAAACGTAGAAAATCCTGCAATCAAGTAATCAATCAATTTTATTTCAAGAGACATCTTTAGTTAATAAAGGCAAGTACCCGAGATTTTAGGTAGACAACTATTGCAGTCGACTGTTGACGTTTGCCGACATTTGGAAAGAACAATCTGAGTTATTTAAACAACATTCTTTCAATTGAGAATACATAAATAGTTGTAAAGAATTTTCCATGATAAGAATTATGGCTTGAAAATATAAATAAAACGATATATGAAGAGCTTTAAATAAACTGTCAAAAGATATTATGCTCTACTAAAAGCCAAAGACCAGAAAACTAAATATCTTTGAAAAAGTGATTTTTACAGTAACGACAACATTAATGAAATTCTTGCTGCTTTTAAAAATTATCTGCATAACTTTTAGTTTACCTTTAAAAATATCAGAAATATTCAGATATTTCTCTTTAGTATCTTTTATGCAAATATTTACAAATAATTTATATGACGTTTCTGTGTGTTTCTATAAATCTTTTAATTTAATTCAAGAAACATATAATGTACAAGATCTGTACAAAATATACGGAATATTACTGAACATAAAGAATCTCTTTTATTTCTTTATCGTTTGAAAATTATTTGTTCTTTGTTCTTTTGTTCTTTATCGTTGAAAATTATTTATTCCTGTATTTGTCGATGTGATGAAATCACAGTTACCGAAAGGCTCGCATGTCTCATCGGAGTGCAAGGATTTATTGATGTCCTTGTTGAGACACAACCCTGACGAGAGGATAACGTTTGATGAATTTTTCGCCCATGATTTCCTGGATTTGGCTCATGCGCCAACAAAGGAAAATTACGACAAGGCGGTAGAGTTAATTCAAAAGGCTGTGAAAATGGATGCAGAAAAGAATTCGAAAGAAGCTTTACATTTATATTGTGAAGCTCTTAGATATTTTATTCCTATTGTAACAAGTAAGAAAGAGTAATACAAATGACACAAATTTGATGTTGTTCGCTGTTAATTAATTACATTCATATTTTAACTAAATTATGAATTTATTAGGTGAGACTGATTTAAAGAGGAAAGAAAGTTTAAGATCACGCATAAATGATTATATTAAAAGAGCAGAGGTATTGAAAGCATCCTGTATAGATAATAGTAATGATACAGATAAATGTGTTCCTGTGGAGCATAAAGAATATTCTATTCAGAGGATATCATCTTTAAATGAGGCGTCATTTGTGTATCACGAACTACGTTTGTATCAAAATTTTTACAATACCACCTTTTCAATAAAATGTGAAAATAATATAATTTACTCAAATTAATTGTTAATTTATATAGAAGAATTCATAGAATAATATTTCTTCTGTTGCAGAAATTACATTACATTAATTGAGATAGTTTGTTATTATTTGATAATTACATTGAATCATAAAATATAAAATACAAAGACAGATAAGATTTTTAATTTAGTTTAAATTGAATTTATAATTAGAATGTTTCATATAGGTACTATAACACATAAAGTTCGTTAAAATTAAAAATATCTATACGAAGTAGTTGCACGCCATTGTATAATTCTAATTAGGTACGAGGAAGTTTCTAACATTATTAGTTTACAATTGATTCGTTATTCATCGTTACAAAAATGTAATAAAATATCCTTATGAAATTCCAATAAAATAAGAAAGAGCAATATGGCTTTAAAAGTATTACACCTGTTGAGATGAAACGGGGTGTGTGCTTTGTTTCAACGGAAAACTTTTTTATCCATCTAGAATAGCCTGTAATTGATAGCAACTCCTGATTCAACAATCGGTCTCGTCACCAAGAGATATTATTTTATGATTATTTTTTACTAAACGTTAATTTTTTATATTTTCTTACTAGCGAAATTATAAAATTTAGGTATATGAATAAAGATTTGTTTCTTATTTACTGCAAGATTACGTGTGTATATTTTATTATATTATGGATAATTATCGTGGTTATTTATCGATAGGAACGCTTAGCAAAAGTACAACCAGTATGGCGGATGGGCTTGAAATAGGAGCAATCGCCGAACTGTATCTTGCGGAAGGAAATTATGCGCTTGCGTTAGAAAAATTTCAATCTTGTCTAGGAATATTGGTACCTCTTTTGCGAAAAGAACCTCCAGGTCGAAGAAGAGATTTGTTACATAAACAGGTGATTAATTCTCATAATTAATAGTGAATGTGGATGTTTATGCAATTTCATATTTTTCTAAATGCGATTCAAGAAATAGAACTTAGGTAACAAATATGTAGAACATACATTAAATGTTCTAGACTCTATCATGGAAAAGGGTTGTTTTCGTTGCGACCTCCTTTAACCTCATTGCCACTTTCTGGTATTAATCGGGTTTTCGCGTTAGCTGTTGGAATAAAAAATTGAGGATAAGTGGAACCATGTAAAAGCATTTCTTTTATTTGATGGTCTGTTTTGCGGAGTATAAAATTATGATATAAAATATACCTACATAGCTCGAAAGTGGGACAGCTAAATAGAGGAAAATTCGACTACTCTAATGGCTTACTTACAATAGTGCGTTTTTAACGTTTCAGCCATAAATGCGGCAACTCGAAGTCGGATTAACCGGATGTAGAATCAAAATTTTTATTTATCTAATAATCTGTCCTCCTTTAAAATTATTTGATTTTAATATTTAATTACGCCAACTGGGACGAAATTTCCATTGGCGTCTACTTTTTAATTAATTCGGTAAATGTTTTTAATCATTTTCAATTTAATTCTACAGAGTCTGGAGTATATTATAAAAATAACGGGAAAAATTGATTAACTTAAAAATTCTTTTTATATAAAACATAGAAGATATCCTAAATTCTAAATTCCATTGAACCCTCTTTATAATATTTATTGCATCGTTTTTTTACATAATGTGGTCGATCTTTTTATACTTATATTTACACAAATTTGTTTCGTTGGTTTACAATGTTTAAATAGGACAGATTGTTAACAGTGGTAAATTTTTAACTTTTAATTATTGTACTTAGTTTTTTAAATACAAATTCGTGGAATATTTGTGTACTTTTCTAATTACCAGTTTGCACGGCGACTATTTAAACATGTATTTATTTATTCGAACAAAAATCATTTTCATTTAACTTCCTTCGATACCCTTCGTTGTTAATTGTTTGTATTTAATTTATTTGATCCTTTTATAAATATCAGAATAATTTTCGCTGCAATTAATATAATTTATAAACGTACTTTCGTCATTATTTAGTGAACGTTATATTATAATCATAGAACTGCATGTTAATAACGGTGTTACAAGCAAATTACATGTGGTTATCTTAATTATTATGCCATTCATATATTATGCATCATCTCTGAGGTTTCACGTATACCAATTCAAATAAATAATTTCCAACGACCATATATAACATCTATTAAATGACAGATGATCATTAATTTAATATCTTATAACATATCAAGATGGGCTATTGTAATTAATTATGGTGTCCGTTTCAGTACCTCTGGTTTCTAATAGATATCTGCTTACATAGATAATTCCTACAATTTACAACTATTAAAAAATATGTATACATACATATGTATTGAAACTCTTTCTTTATATTGCAAATTTACCATACCATTTTTCACGTTATTTTGTGCAATAACTAACGATTTTAACGATCGAACGATTTCAATATTGTGAGACAAATAATTCGATACAACGTCGTAATTAAATTTTATGATTACCCGCAACATTTATTGCGCGCTTTTAGTAATTACGTTTATGAATATGTATACATATATGTGTAATGCACAATTCTTTTTTTCATTTTATAATGTTATGCTAATTGACAGGTACAATACTGGATGAAAGGAGCCGAAAGTACCAAAGGGCTTTTAGCTACTAAAGATATCGAGGAGTCCGCACAACATGCCTCTGATACGTACGAGCAATGCATACTGCAGTAATTCAAAATTTCCATTTAATATAAAGCATTATTTGTACTGGTAGCACGTTCTGAAATTTTTTCCGAGACAAATATGAGTACTTACTGTGTCACTTGTATTATAATGTATCTATATATATATATATATATATATAGAATGTTTCCATTTATTTATGGAAAAAAATAAATAATTTTATATTTCATTTTTCAATGCAAATGGTATACCTCGGTAATATGTTACCCGCAACGTCATACAGCACGTAAAAGCAGCAATATGTCATTGCTTCTTTATTTATTAAAACCTCCTCTAAAACGGCGCACGAAAAGATAGTGCATAGAGTAACTAGTTTTCCATTAAGATAAGAAAGAGCAGTGAAAGGGAAACGTATCATGCTTAATTAATTTTCAATTTTAATAAATTAATTCTCGTATACATACTTATTTTTTATAACAATATATGTGCACATATGTGTGTGACATTTTATTTATTTATTTCATTCTATCAAATTAGATAAATTCACTTAGAGCGTTGCAAACCTATTTACATTTACACCAATTTACACCATTGGAACACCAATATTTAAGACGCACACAATTTCTGCTTTATTTATAAGTTATCTATATTGTACGTAGTTTCAACTGAAGTAAAATTACATAAACTGTTTATACTATCTTTGTTATACTTTGCTTACATTACTTTTAATGTGAAGTATGCATACTTAGACTTGATGTCACCTTAACTCGTCCTTGACATTTTGAAGAAAACATAATTTTGAAATTTACCTACAAACACTGATAAAATTGATCAACTAGAGTTTTCATCAAATATTCACAATGACATCTTTTGTTTAATATCCAATTTTCAAAAAACAGATGATTTATTTCTATAAGACTACTTGTCACAAATATATGTATATATACCAAAAAATAAAAAATGTTAAAACTATTTGTATTATTTGGCAAAATTGGAAAGGCACATTTGAGAGTATCACCTTTTTGCGATTCAACAATAATAATAATAATATTGTATATTCACACAAACATACAAATTTTCCTCTATTTTCAATTTATGAAATTGACTAATGTGACTTTCGGATGACTCGTACAATAAATGATAACAAGCACGAAAAAGAAAAAAAGTATCGTAAAATATAATTAAATATTTTAAAGGAAAAAAATTTCGAAAAAAAAGATTTGAAAGCGGAAAAGGAGGGCGCGCGCATCATGGCGCGTCGCCCTTACAACTTCCGGTGAAGCCACGTGATCTAGCTAACGGTCGCTGTTGCCCCGAGGCGTCATGGAAAATTCCTATTCCCGAGCAACAACCCTCTCCCCTTCCCTATGTACATACCCCCTGCTCTCCCCCACCCTTTCGCAGTCCCCACTATGTCGTTGTCAGGTACTTATGTACATCCCCCACTCTTTTGCAAAATTCTCTTCCCCCACCACTTACCCAATGGTACCGGATGTGCGGCAACGTCGCAACCGTTAAGTACATAAGGACGAATGGGAGGGGGACGAAGGGGGGTATGAGAAAGAACTGGCAACGTGTACCACATTCAAATCTGGACGGAACCCGGTCGGCCTCTCGGTTCACCTCCGCACAAAACAGCAGAAAACGCGGGCCGCGAGAGAATTGCGTGTACGTGTATAACGAACGAGGCAACCGACTAAACTGTTTAAGATTCTTCTCGTTTTCCTTCCTCGTGCTTATCGGTCGTGTCTCTATGTCTATCTCTCCTCCATTGTCAAGTACAACAACCACAAAATAGATTCGCAACTCACAGAGGCGCATTTCGCGGCGCCCTCGTGCGACGACCCATTCGCTTTCCCCGCTGTAACTGTGGTATATTATATTTCGCGCGCGCGCACACACAGTTTCATGTAAATGTCACGGGAACGTAAGGGTAGCGTATTCGTGTGGCGGAAGTGTTGTTTTGTTCTGTGGAATTATGTGCATGGACATTCAGGTTAACGAGAAGAAGAAGAAGATGAACGACAGGAGCGTCGACGAAGACGTACAAATCGTCGAAGCCCGAATCAACAGAGGTAAGCTTTGAGGTTATGGGTGGCGGCGGTGGTCGCGGTGGCGGCGACAACAGACTCGCGCGTATCGTTTCCCCCTCTCTTTCTCCCGATATTCCCCATCTCTTTTTCTCTTCCTATACATCTGTATTCCTTTCTCGTTTAGATTCTCATCTTCTATCCTTTTTTACTTTTCTTGGTACTCCTGTGTACTCCTCGCTTGATTTTCTACCACGTCCAACCTCGGTACCCTCTCGCTCTGTTATACGGGTTGTAGCAGCGCCCAGTGCCTAGAAGGTACATGTCGTGTTTTCTGTTTTCTATGAGCTGCGCCTCGTGCAGACCCGGCGAAACGTGGTTCCCCGATGCGACTACCTGTCAACATCTGCATCTCACGTGTTGACAATATACCGTTGCAACAACGACACATTGAATCTAAATACACGTCTTGTTCTCTTAAAATCTGACGTATACTTTTTACCTTCTATTGCATTCCTTTTCTTGTTCCATACAACGCAACGATTGAAACTATTTCATTTTTCTTTCTTTTTTAAAGATTTTTCTTCAGTCATTTATAAATATTATATGTACCATAGTTACCCTGTTTGGGCACATGTAAATTCACAGTTATATAAAACGTCTAATGTCTATTAATTTCAATATAATACTAAGGTTCGTTTATGTGCACGTGGATACATGTTTGTTGTAAATTGACTTTTAAAACACATACCAGGGTAATCCTAATTGAGTTTGAATATCAGTGTGTGTTATTGTATTTGAATGACATACATACAGACATCGATTGCAAATGCTGGGAAAGAACTCATTAAGATTGTTTATGTTTAACGATTATTGTATTTACGTTATGTGACTGTACATATAAAAGTAAAGAATACACATAGGAAACATTATTAGTGACATATGTACGGTGCTCAATGTTTGCAAAAATATGTCTATATCCTGTTAAATATACATACATTGTATTGATTATTACTATTTAATATTTACACGAACGATAAATCGTTAATAACAAGAATTATTTGCAATACGTTTCGATGTATGATCAATAAAAGGATGTTAATTCACATTTCATTTTATCCGCGTGTGCTTGCAGAAGATGACGTCACGGTTTATTTAAAGTAAACGGTAAGATGATCCTGGCAATATCGTAGATATTTTTTTGGGAAGAAAGTGTGTAATGAATACTTAAATTACAGTACCGTATAGCTCCCATAAACAAAAAATATTACGAGAAGCTTAAAGCGTGTCATCTTTTATTAAAAACTTTTTTATATTAATGAAAGATTATATTTAGATATATTCTTTTATGAAAATTTAATTACGGTCAGATAATAACAAGTCTACATTTATTCATAGATAGCTTATTTTTTGAGCTTTGTGTGCATCGCGAATAAATTAAGGTTAGGATAATAAAATAACATACTATTATATTGTATGACATACATTATGTACATGGTTATTTTATTATATAAAAATAATATATAGCCTGTTTTCTATCAGTACAATGAAAAAGTAAGTATAGTCATTCATTATTGAAAACGCTCATAAGAATTTGTGCTTCCTGTTTTACAACTATTTTCCTATAAGTAACTATAATCTTTTTAATAATTTATGGTTAGGTTTACCATAATATTACATATAAATATGATATAATATATATTACTACCAGTATCGATATGTAATTCCGTTATTATTAAGTAAAGAAATAACTGAAATAAAAAGATGGAAAAGCAAAGAAAATTAATCAACCGTAGATAGAAAAGATGTGGAATTGTCTTTGAGATTATTATAGATTATGTCCTTTTTATATGTGAAGTATTCCAAAAGTTTTTTGGCGCCACAAAGCGTGATGAAAAATAAACATTATTGATGTCAGTTATTAGTTGCAAGATAGATCTATCTATCACTAAAAACATTTTTTCAATAATGCTTTTTTATTAGTTTTTGAAAATGATACATATAAACTTCCATTTACACTTTTGCAATTGAACTACTGTCATTAGTGAAATTTTACAAATTATCAATATTAATAAATGTCCTTGCATAATAGTAACAAATTGTGAAATCGTAAAGGAGACGTTTATATTACTTACTATTACTTTATATTACTATATTAGTAATATTACTATTATATTACTATATATTACGTTATATTATATTATGCAAGAAGCCCCTGGATTTTGTTCTTTCAAAGTAATTTTGGTTCATCTTTATTCCGTAATTTTGAGTACTTTGGCAAAATATATTTTTTTAATAAAAGTTTAATATGTATACGAAAAGTTTTATATATATATATTTTCTGAGTAATGGAATAATCAAATTTTTAAAATGCAGAAAGCACTATTGTATATTACAGTGAAAACAAATAATAATTTATTTAAAGTTACGATTTATTTAGATCTAGTGAAGTTGTAATAGTTTAATATGGAATAAGATTAGTAAGAATTTTCTTTATTATAATTGGTAAAATTATAGATGATAAAACGCATATACATATTACATACTCTAGTGTCCGTTCTAGTTGATTTACATTTGTGCGCCTCGTGTAACATGGAGCTGATCTCACTCCTCCGACCGTCCGCCCGTTTGCTTCGCCGGCACATATATGCAAAGGCAGCTATATACACTGTACATACGAGAGCGAGAGCTGGGAGGGAAATATGTGCAGACGCAGTATATAATGTATCCGCCTCTATGTACTACATAAGAGCTAAAGAATGATGTAACAAAGAGGCAGTTTCACGAAGTTTGCCGAGCATTCCCGAAGCGGCGCGACTTCGTGCAAGTCGCATGCGTGCTTGTGTACCATGAAAACGCACACCACGATGCTTGTCAGCTGCTGCAAGTGCACGCCGCCATATGCAATTCTACTGAGTTGCGCAAAAAATTACATTTAGAAAAATGATAGAGCATATTTAGATGGTCCTCTTTCATTATTGTGAATATACCGAATATTCGTTCTCCCCACTCTTCGAATCATTCTTGTTTTTCTCGTCACAGAACACTAAAGCGATGGTAACCTCGTCCCATACGTCTTATCACGATTAAGACTATCGTATTTAATTGTGTCTCTCTGTACTATATTTCATCGCGTTATGTAATGTTTGCTCTTTTGATTTCATAATTGAACGAAATGAATGATATACGTTGATATTAGGAAAAAGAAGGAAATTGTAAGAGAAAGATTGTGAACGTTAGAAAGAAAGGACAATGTAGTTATGGCAAAGAGAATGGGTAGATCGGTACAGGGCACATCCTGTTCAACGCCATATTGTTCTTCAGTAATCTCTTCCCCCTCCATTTCCACTGCCTCCCCTCCCCGCGAACTGTGCCTTCACTTGGCATAGCAACAGCAGCAATAGAGGGCTGCTATAAATAGATTGTTATGACCTTCCAGTGTTGCCAAAACGACTGGCCCAGCGTATGCCATAGAAGAAATCGGGCCAATCAAGGCCGCGACGGCCATTTTGTAATGGCAACGTTGCACGGTCATATAGATTAACATCTTTGTTATTTCTGTTATATATATAATTATTTATAGAAAAACACAATCGAAATAAAAGAGTAACAAACATATAAACATTTGAATTACAACGTATATAGTTACGATTTTTTAAATATTCTTTATTTTAGTTCTAGTTGCTCAATCTATGCACGAAAGCTAGCGATTTTTTATTTTGTATCTTAATAAAGACGTATCTTTATTCGTAAACATGCTCATACGATGCTGATAAATACAACTTTGTACATCTTTTTGTTTTTATATGTTTCTTTAAGTATCGATCAAGCGACGTTGCTTTTCCCCGCATACATCTATGTATTAGTATGTACGACTGAAAAGTGAAAAAAGGGAGACCGAGTGGGCGTGCCTGCAGCGAGAACCGGCAACGTTGCAGCCGTAAATCATGATTAAAATAATAAGTATAATACATATGTAGTATATAGGAGGCTGTCGAGTATATGTATGTAAGGCTGCGCAGAGGCACAAACAGCGACGTATGTCTGGCAACGTTCTGCGCAGCTTCAATTCCCCCACCTTTGTTATTTAACCCCCACCATCACGCAGAATCCCACGGGTAAGTTCCAGGAATGGCGGTGGGGGTGAAACGCGGGCGTTAGAGGAGGGAAGGGCACCTGAAACCACGACTATATACCGCCGCGTGCGTTTACCAATCTTGGCACTTTGCCTGAAAGAGCATATCGACCGTGCAACGTTGTCACATCGTCTGCGCGATCTTACGCGCTGGCCCTGGCCACTCTTTGAGCGGTATGTACCTAGCTGCTGCAGCCGATCCCTGACACACGATGCGAAATCCGATTGAGGATATGGTTCACCTATTTATAAGATTCAGTGACGTATCTAGCATAAAATTTCATAATTTCCTGAATCTCTTGAAATAAGTGAAGTGAGAAGTACGACCAAGTGATAATGATACTACACTGGAAAAGCAGTTGAAAATGTTGATCACGATTTCGATGATTTCTGAGAGTTATGCAGAAAAGAATTTTGAATTAATGAAATACATATGGATTTATAGACAAAGTTTAATTAAATACTACGTGATATTGCTATGGTTATAATGAAAATAAGAAGTTTGAATGACCTATTTGTTTGTAAACATCTAAGAAATCCAATTTTGCTGTATGTATATTTCATTATAACCGTTGTGCAGTTTTACATATTAATAATATATATTTGTTATATGTATTATTGCCGAAATTTAATTAAAATCTTAATTTATAAAACGCGATAATATAGAGGGAACAATAAATATTTCCTAGTTGGAAGTATGAGTGATGAATGTAACACGTGACAAGCATGCGTATTAACACAGCGTATAAAGATTTTTTAATTTTATTTTCCAATTTCCGGTATTTAAATACTTATTTACTACGAAATTTGAAAACTGAAATGATCTTGCGCATTTTATTTATGCTTCTTATTTATATAGCACAAAATTATACCTTATGTGTAAATTGTATAATCACGATTTAAAAAACCGTAAATACTGGAATAATTTCTACCGTCTTCGAAATTTTATTATCTTTGGGAGAGAAAGTTGAGTACATCCTTCACTTGTCACTGATCGGCTTCGACTAAAGACTGCTGCCAGGCAACGGTCTTATATAGCTCTCGTATCGAACACCAAAGTATAGTAATTAGTATATAAACAGAACCTACCTTCCATCTTATAAAGCATTCATTTCTTGTAAGTTAATGGACATTTCTTCGTAACGAATGAATTATTATTAGAATTAAATGTAATTTAAGGATTTTGTTGCAATATTATTAATTTTTAAGTTATTTATATTTACCGTTATGTTTATTTAAATTATCAGCGCATGCGCAACATATATGTATTTTATGTCTGGAAATAAAATTCAACATAATTAATAATATTGAGCGCGACGGATAGATGGCGACAGTTATTGGGAAGACTACCGATCCCCTTTTACCCAGAGCAATAGAAATCTTTGTATACTGTATACAATTTTAATTCAAATTGTCAATTTATTAAATACAAAATATAGGCATATTATATTATAATAGGTTAATAATCTGAATTGTGTTTTTGTTTTAAGAATCTTTTTAAAGAAATTATTGTCATTTGTTTTTCAAGTAATACATATACTTTCAAGTATGTTATATATTTTTGTATACATTTTTTCAAGTAATGTACATATACAACTCAGTGTTTTATCGAATACTCGATAACATTCATTGTATTTTGTACTTGCACATTTCGCGCAGTAAAATGCAATACAGATTTACGAAGTTGTCGTTTAAAAATACCCCGCAGTGATATAAAATTGGGGTATCTGAAAGAATTATCGATGGACATTAGGGAGTGCAACAGTAACGTCAGATTCCTAAAAATGGAAAGTTAAAGCCAACGGGTGGTGATACGTCGCGGAGGACGATACTGGCACATACCTAACGGAGTACAGTCAGCGTGGAAAACTAAGCGTGCCTCTCTAGTCCGTAAGGATTGGCGGTCGGCTAGACCGCGGAATGCCTAGTGTCCCGTGCAACTGCAGGCAGACAGCTCGATGCTACGGCATGGCCTACTGGGCGGCCTGAAATCGCAGTTTTACAGAGGCGAAGTCCGCGTAAAATGGCGCTACCCTCGATCGAGAGCTCCTTAATCAACGGCAAAGCTTCGCCGGGGTCCAGAGGTACGCCCGTGTTACGAACAGCATGTACATAGTCAGTGTGAACGATACCACCGTCTACGTACGTTTATCTACCCTCGAAATGTATCCCTCGAGAGTCGAGTCGGAAACTCTTTCGCGCCACCTGCTATAATAATTGCAATCGACAGAGGCAAAGTGAAAACGTCGTCGAGGGAAAGCGTGAAAACTTCGAAGCCGAGAGAGTCGAAACAGAGGAGGAGGATAGAACTTTTCCTCTGTCTGAGCCTGTTTCTCGTCTCGTCGTGTAACATGGTCGTGTGTCGTCCCATCGACAGTGCACATCAGTAGACGCACCGCGTATAACCTCTTCGCTGGTTTACAACTCATCCAACCGATATGTGATTTCGACTCGGCTAGAAAGCATCGTTGATCGTCAAGGATGAGGAACGATATTACAGACATGCATACGGTGAACGCTGATAGCAGCACGGACGCCATATGGCTCGAGAAAAGGAGTCCGTTGCAGACGGCACCCGATCAAGTGTCACTCAGTACGTTTTCAAATGCATCTTTCTATCATTAATGAAAGATGCGTTGTGTCTTTGTAAATCCTAGTGTGGTGAATTTTTCTCGTATCTTAATGTACACGTGCGCGTACTCTTGATTAGCCCCTTGTTTTCGTTTGATAATCGATGTCGGTTGAAAAGAGCGCGAGAGTATTTTTTCCATCGATTTCAAAGAAAAGGAACGTTTTAATTTTTTACAGAACGTAATTTATGGTTGTTTTATTTAAATGTCGATGTAGATGACAGGGGATTCAAATCGATTAAACAATGAATAATCAATTAACACATGTCACGTGTACAGTGTACAGTGTTTTGAAGTGTCTGACGTTTTACAAAACTGCGAGTGCGCAACTACAGTTTCGAATTTGTGAATTCTCGGAAAATATGGTTCCTAATCCGACATTAGACAATTTTGCAGTCCTGTGTACATTACAAATCTTAGATACGTATATATATCATGCAAATTGCCGGTACCAATCTTGTGTTGTGTTATTATATTCATCTTTTGCAATTTAGTTGAATTGTAATGTTTAATTGAAAATGAACTATTACGAAAATGTTTCTATGCTCATTTTCTTTGTCTATGTGTTGTATGAAAGGAAAAACAATTAAAATTTGTATAAGAAAAATGAATAGTTGTCATTCATATTCATAAACTTAAATTAAATATCGATGATTACAGTGCAAAAATAACTTCGATTGGATAGTGCGTGTCTTGCGCATAGGTCTTGAACACGTGTATGCTTTCGTACAAATTAACAGCGCCAAATTTCGTATAATACGAAATATTTTTTTATGTAGAAACGAACTTTATAAGTCTTGTTTAAGATGGATAAAATTGACAATTTAGTGGGTTATTATTTTTGTGGGAGTTCGTTTCGCAGAATAATCAAAGATAATTGCTTGAATTCATTTGTGGCATATGATAAATGTATTTTCCCGCGCTCTTCTCCATCGATCGTCGTCTGTAATTTTTATACACAATCATCTAAAACAATAAAAAATAATTAATTTTTTCATTATTTTGATTTCTATAGATTTTGTTAATATGTTTTAATTTTGTTGAGAAATAAATAGAATTCATAATGGTTATTTATTGTTATTTAATTCACTAAAACTTGATAATATACTGACATTATGTATTTCAGTTATAGTCTAGTATTTATAACGAATATAAGTTATTGTAATAATTAAGTGGGCTTTGTTATTGTAAATAATGTGTTAAAGAAAAGAATTATACATATAACGTATTGTTCAGTAATTTGGATTAAGCTGTTTAATTTTAAAGTATTTCATTTTAGTTTGTATTCTGTAAGCATTTTTCGTGATGAAAATTATTAATAAATGTAGAATACACATACAAATTAAATATTGGAATTAAGTAATCTAACTTAGACTACTATGGTTACCTATGGGTACCACTTAACCGTTAAATAACAAACAATTTAAGCAAAATAATTTTATCTAGAGTTCAATATTCCTTAAAAAATTTATACCACATAAATGTATATATCATATTCTCTATTTTGTAATTATCAAAAATAATAGGAGTATATTGTATATTTTCCAGCTTTTGATAAAGTCGTAGTTAAGCAAGAACTTCCCGATGAGGCGGAGATCCGAGAACTGGCTGCCAAAATGGTGGAAGCAAACAAGGCGAAAATGGTCACAGGAGTACCAGGGGCCCCACCACAACAAAGGCCCCCACAATGTCTCCTTCCACAATCAAATCTTCCTGGTATCCTGGGATACTTGAATAAACGACCAGCGGATTCGTCAACTGCCGTATCAACGAAGCCTCCTACGACGGAAGGCAAAGTACCGCCTGACGATGAAAGCCAAAGAGGCCGATTCGGATGGACCAGTTTCGACGATTGTCACATACCTTATATATTTCGCTCTGGCGAAAAGTATTGTGCTGTACGAATTTTAGAATCTAAGTTGCTGAACAAGTACCTGAGTTACCTGCACTCGGATATCTACAGTTGTACGTGTATAAGGAGTTACTATATAACGGAAGCGGAGAGTAAGCTGTTCACCGATATAAACGTTAAACACTGCGAGAATCAGTTTGGAAGAGATCCATTCACGTGTAAAGACTTAGTGGTTCGGCTTTCGGACGCAAAGGAGTTTTATACGTTTTTGGACGTGTGTTACACGAAATTAACGGCCGGGACGAATCCAAACGTGTCAAATGGGCAAAAAGCTGATAAATGTGGATTCATTCGGATAAATAAGGAATCCGTTGTTCCTTACACGGTGAAGGACGGCCTTCAATACGTCCCTCTCTTTTATTTCGAGGGCGAGACCGAGAATCTCAAGTTGAAAGCGGAAAAGCTCGAGGGTTGGGACTTATCGTATTTAAAGTTTTGTTGCAAAGTACAGGGTATTCGTAACGAACTGTTTGCCAGTGAAACATGTTCAGTGATTAGTTTGAATGACATTAAAAGTTATTTCCCGCCGGGCACGGGGTTCGAAGATTATTGGCCGACGAAAGTGATGGACTCTCAGTTGTTAGTGAATAGCAAAGGTGGTGGTAGCGGTGGCGGCTGGACCAAACAACCTACACCGCCAGCGACCAAACCAGTTCCCGTGCAAAATAGTGCGAATAAAGCGACTGTTAACGCACGTGCTGCCCCTATGCATAACATGCTACCACGTGGATCTGTCGCAAACACATCGCAAGTGCAGCAACGAGTCAGCCAACCTAGACCCGTTGCGACCACCCATCCAGCACATTCTTCGCCAACAGCACTATCCTCAGGCAGGTCGAATATCGTCACACAGCCGATGTTGAACACAGTGCAAAGTGTTAATGGCTGGACAGGCCTCGTCGGTGGTCAACCCACCTTTCAAACGGCGGCGCTTGTTTCTCAACCTAGTTCTATTGTGCGAATGCCTTCGTCCCTAAACATGCACAATGTAAGTCGCTCTCCACTATATTTCCGCTTTTATATAATTCAATAAAAAGTGTCCAGTTGTTTAAAAATATATTTATATTATTATATATTTTTGTTGTAATATTATTAAAATTTTATTAAAGTTAGAATATGTAAGAATATTTTTTAAATACATCATTATAATTAGCTATTTTTTCTATTTCTTTTTGAAGATGTTGAACCCCCAGTAAGGGTCAATGTTGTGTTAGTATAATATATATATATATATATATTATATGTCGGAGATGAAAGGACACCGGAGCCGTCCCTCTGGAACTTCGGGATAATCCGTAAAATTGCAATTAAAGTTTACAGTCGTAATTAAACAATTTGCCGTCATCCTGTCCAATTGTACTTGTTTGCGATTTGTGATAATAAACTTGGGCTCAAGGCGACCATCAGTCACCGAACGTAACCGCGGTCAACGGGACGGGCGCTTCGCCTAGCAAAGGTGTGGAATTATAGTATGATCCTCGTTAAAAGAAATACCAATAGAGGTACTTGACAGTAAAACATTCCAACGGTTCCTTCGGACAATGAATACCTGATATTGAGGCACGTACACAGCACAAGTCCAGTTAGCCCGAGGACCCGCTATAAAACCTGGGTTTTTCCGGCAATTAAGATCTTCCAAACGGACAGACGGTCTTTGTCCCAAACAGACCAATTGACAGCGACGCCAATTTCCCTTACTTTCGGAACGAGGGCTATATCCGACGAATCCGATGATCTCGTGTCCTTAGATACACCCCATCATAATTTTCCTCTGTGGCATCATTGGGACGAAGATTCTTCTTTCTTGAGATCCCACCGACGAAGGGAGCAGCGCCTGACGATCCGTGAGATTGAGTTAGAGCAAGTATCTCTTTCATCCCGTTGACCGTGGATGCGTCATCGAACCTAAGACCAACGTCGCTAACATCGCAAGTGCCTAATCACCGCTGCTGATTGTCGAATCGGTAGTGTCCATACTCGTAGCATCAGGCCGCGTCTTCGTTATCACACAACGATGGCCAACTCCAAGGGAGGTCTATCAAACGCCCACAACCCTGTTCCTGACTCTTCTCCGACATATATATTATATATTATAAATATCAAAATATAATTATATTTATATATATAAAATTATATTTTAATAAACAAAGACAAATTGAAATAATATACTAATGAGTTTTTCATTGATAATAGTTCAAGATCTTTTATTATAGCAAATATCTACAGCACCAAAAAATTATTCCCAACAATCTAGTAGGAGTAGAGGGGGTGGAGGTAGTGCAGCAGCTCAGTACCCTGGAGTTTATCCAGTTACGACTATGCAGAATGTTGTTCAGGCCCAACCACCCCCTCTTGTCAGAGCAACAGTTCACTCCAATCAACCTAATCTCGGGTAAGCAATGAAAAGTTTTCTTAAAAGTCTTCTTTATTCTTCTTTGTTTCTTAATATACAATATCTATGTATATGTTTTTTTAAAATGAAGCTTTAGAATATTCGGAGCAACTTTTCATTTTTAATATTAAGCATTCTCTCTTCTTACACAGCATTATCAATATTTTATGCTTGCTTCCAATTTAGTGATTGAAAACAGTAAATTATATATTAGATGTGAGTTTTTATTGTTAAAAAGCACGTTATGGAATATTTTGCTCAAATCTATTTAAATAACAAATCATATACACGTGTTAAATATCGTTTCCCTTTTGACAATTAATTACAATTTATCTTTCTTGATGTGTTGCTCAAATTCAAGGTGAAATTAATCATTAATTCAACACAACTTCATTCGTGTAGTAGTTACATTAGTGTAAAAATGTTTATTATATTTATTACTCACACTGTATATAGTTTATCAATGCATATTAAAAGTTCATAATAGCTTTATTTGAAAAGTGATCTTAATATGATGTATACTAGAATAAAATGAGCATGCAGTGTCGAATTTTAGGGAACCACTTATTTATTTGAAATATATAATTATACTATTTGCAAAAATGTTATTATTTATTATCTGGAAAACCTGCACTATAGCTTCTTGCATTTGTACATACAACGTATGATTTTTTTGTATAGTTATCCAACCTATGGGAAGGATGACTGGTGAGTCCCTGTAAAATGTACTATAGTCATGATTACTACACAAAAGTAAGATAGCATGCACAAGAACATTATAATTAACAAATTTTTGATTTATATAAATCTGCAATAACTATATATTGCCTGTGTTGCCTCTTCAAACAGTACTTATATTCTTTCTAATGTTTTTATTTCTTTTATTTACTATACACATATATCTACTTTATATTTCCTAGATATACTTTTATTTTCGTTTTTTTGTAGATCATATTATTATCGACCTTTTTTCATAGAAATGCTATTAAATGAGATATTGATATATGTGAAAAATGTGAATAATTTGTATTCGTTATTATTATTATTTATATACATATATGACTGATTTCTACACTTTCTTTGTTTATTATTTTAAATAATAAACTATGTTAATTTTTTATTTTAGTTATTTATTTGTTGTTTAAACAATGAAATATTGAAATTTATATAATACATAAAATACTCTTGATGCTATTATACATTTAAGCATAAATATAGTAAATCAATATATACATTTTGTAGGGAATCTGATTACAATGATTAATATCTCATGTACATATTTCTCTATTTATATTCTTTTAAACTAGTATACACTTTTAAGTTTCCCAAACTATTCAACAATGTGTAGATTTTCTGTACAATATTGTATCTTACATAAACATTTTGTAACTTTATTAAGTACTGTAGTTCGTGTAAATTACATAATTATAGTTGATCATATATATTTCCTAATTTGTATGTTCCTTAAGATTTATCGTAGAATGTTTCCATTTTAGGGTTACATCGACATATACTACGCCTACTTTAGGTGTCCCAAATGCTGTTACAGCAAGTACATACCCTCAAATGCTAGGTTTAAGCGAACAAGTACAAGCTCTGATGCCGTCACCTACTCAGGTATCTACGCTATTACACCCACAAAGGCATACACCATCCGTGCATAACACATCTCATGCGAAATATCCACCACCATTAATACCAGTTAATGGTAGTAATAATAGTTCCAGGTATGACATTGTTTGCTTTATTATATTATCATATTATTATATTTAAATTTTTAATATGAACTAAACTACTTTAAAGGGAATAAATAAATACTTTATTATTGTATCGAAGTATTTATTTCTAGGGATTCAAGAGGCAGAAAGCCATTGATCCCAATATCAGAAACACATATATCAACCTGTCAAGTTCAACCTTATCAAATTCAGAAAGCGCTTGTAGAAGACAAAATGGTACCTTGTATTAATTTCAAGCCATATATATATTCTGAATTACTGATGACGCTTCCTGACTTCGTCGCTCAGTATTTTCCTATCTGTGACATTAATAGCTGTCGGCAAGTCCTAACAGATGTCTTGCATATAGACTTATATCAAGGAAATAGGTAAAAAAGTATTATTTTTTGCATATGTCTGTACACAATGCTCTTAACTTTGTCAATAGTAAGAATTTTGCAAGTATATCCCTTTTTGTTTACCTTAAAATATTTTATAGGAATGTACATTTACCTCACATTATGACTGATGTAAATAATTTTTAATTTAAGATACTTTCTTTTAAAGGCTACAAATGAAAATGTTAATGGAAGCAGGGAAGTGTTCATCTTTAAACGAAGAACTACCATTAATACAAGTAAAAAGTATTATGAAATACATGCCTCAATTGAAATATATGTTTAATAGAGGTGGTGAGATGGTAATGCCTGCACCTGCACATTCTTCTGAGGAACACCCTGCCAAAAAACGTCAACGCACCAGCTAGGACTGGCTACAGCCTTACTGGCCTACTTATGATTACTATCATTCGGCATTTTAAAAAAAGCCGTTTCCTTTACTCTAATGTAACAAATCAGCATTATTATATGCCCTGAAAAAACGTAAACCAGATTATTCTGTATTGACGTCATGTGCCAGAAAGAGTGCACGCAAATGAAGATTACCTTTTATAATACAAGGAATCTGTGACATACTGTGAGCTACTTCTTTCTCCAAAGTGTATCTATCGACGAAAGAATACTTGTAAATAAAACTGAGATGTATAAAACTAGTGTTGCACAGTTGGCAGTTTAGATATGCTTTTATATATTAAGATTATTAATACTTTTCTTTAAGATTTTTCGTTTACAACTGGAAGTTGTCGAACGAACAATATAAATACTGTGACTATCACACACACACAAGACCATTCCTTTCTTCTTTGTTTGTCCTCATTTTATTTTTCTACCTCTACTATAAAGTATCTTACATATAGTATTTCTTTATAAATAAAATGAAAGTTTTAATATTAATGTGATTCGGAGAAAGAAAGTGCCGCCATGCGATAACTCATTAACAGATGCGAAATGCAAGAAGGTGGTTGTTTGAACTTGCTTATATTGCACGTTGAACGGATATCAAAAAGATTTGGCATTTGTATATTTAAAGAGACGGAGGTAATGCTTCTTCAAGTTCCTAGTTATTACTAATATGTATCATGATAATTGCTGAAAAATAATTTAAAACTGTTACTAATTCACAACAATGGTTTAACATAAATTGTGACGTAAGTTTACTGAATCTTACTAGAGAAAAAGTATTCTAAGTTTTGAATCTTGGAAAACTCTATTTTCTAAAGTTCACTTATCAGAGACACCGTACACAGTGATGCAAATAATTTTGTTCAAGTATTGTCTGTGTAAATATCTAAGTCAATAAAAAGAAATGCAATTTAGAATATCATTAAAAATATGACACATATTAACAGTTGGTGAGATATCTACTACCAATGTTAGTGAAGGCTTCATAACTATTTCAAATGTGAACACAATCATTTAAAGGATGTAATTGGCTTCTTTTATTTTTTATAAAATGAACAAAGTAATTATTAATTATGTAGAAAGTTATGTAAAAAAAATACAAATTTATATTACGTAAAGCATAAATTGTCTTATTTTTTGTATTAGCAAATTTCATGATTATTATTTATTAAAACATATTTCATAAAGCGAACATAAATTATTAATATATATATATGTATATATATATTAATTAAATATAATTAAATACTATATGTATATATATATATATATTAATAATTATATATATAATATATTTTATATATGTATATGTATATAAAACATTTATTTATATGAAAACAAGTATCGCAGAAAAAAAGTTTAGAAAACTTAAAAATTGTTAAACGTATAAAGCCACCTGAGATGGTCTTCCGCTTTAAAAATAATATAGGTACGGAAGTAAAATTATTTGAAATAATTATGTAATATAATTTCCGTTTACGTGCATGTTTTTAATTCGTTTAATTAAATGGAAGGTAACTAAGAAAAATGAATTTGAGTGTAAGTACGCTATTTCTGCTGATCCTGACTTTGAAAAATAGAGGCTTAAATTAATATTATTGACTGATTAACTTTCACATTCGCTTTTACTATTACATGAAACAGAAAAAGCTATGTATATGCAAAGAAAGAAACGTGTGTATATATATGTATATGTATGAAAATAATTCTAGTGATAAATTAATGTTGACCACTATGGATTTTCATATAATAAAAAAGGCTTAGGCATCCTGTTACGGTGGAAATGGTATATTTTGTTATTTATAAATTACACTTAGTCATATCACGACTTCAAAGATTCTATTGCCATTAAAAAGACTATGTACCATGGACTGGTGTCTACTCTTTTCCAATGCTAACGAGAAAGATGATAAAAAAATAACCCAAGAAATTCATACACGAAAAGCATTCAGTGAAAAACGTCTGTACAATATGTAAAATAATATATTTATTATTTACGTTTTATAACACGTCGGGTTTTGATTTTTGTATTTTCGTAAAAAAAAAACTTATTGTTAGAAAGAGAAAAGGAAATATAATTGCAATTAGTATCATTTTAGCTCGTTTTAATTTTAAGCGCATGCATCGTGGATCCTTTATTTAATAAATTAAGTACAATATGAACAATGTTTCTTGTACTAATATGTTTGTGTTATATTGAGCGCTGTTATAAATAAATATTAATTATTTCTTATGTATGTATATAACTACGTGAGAACAAAAATATTATTACAAAAAGATGTATGCCACTGAAGAGAATACGAATACAAACTGGTAAATAAATATCTAAGTTGGAAGAATTTCTTGAATTATTTTAATAATTGCTTCATGTTATCCCATGAAGTACATAGAATGTATGCACTATATCCTGAAATTAAAAGAAAAAGAAAGAAGAAATTTGTGGGCCCAGTCGAAAAATTAGAACTTAATTATTTTTAGTATATTAGATTAGAGCATTCATTTGTTAACATGTTAACATGCGTGTATTATACTTTATCACACTATCATCTGTACATATAGATCATAAGAACTAGACATATTAGACATTTCAAATAAATTCATGATATAATTAACGAGTGTTGGTTATTTTATGTTAAAATTAAATACATTATATTGACTAAAAGGAAGATTTACATTTGAGTCAATCAGAAGTTGCATTAATCTACTCCATAAAATGAAAAACAGAAGAAGGTAACGATGTTACAAATACTATTTTTTAAACTTATTTTAAAATTTAGTATCGTTTATGTCATTTTCTTTGCAATGAATGAACTTACGGAAATAAATTATTTGTTTCTTGAAAATTGAATGTTAATCATGTATTCATGTAATGAAATTGTGGAATTAATAAAAAGTGAAGTTGATTATTTTAACTTCTGATTTACTGGTATTTATTAATATAGTATAATCGGTAGAGTTTATTAATACAATATTTAAGTGTTTAGATCGAGATTAATTAGCAACCGAATTTTTAATATTTTAAGTACGTATAGTATATTTTACGTAATCTCAAGTACAAATACAATATTATTTTCGGAGCTCTACAACTAATAAGATACTTAATCATTGGTTTTTAAATATAAAGAATATGTGATTATATTTTTACAAATTTTTAGATTTATTTTGAACTTTATTAATATATTTCTGATAGTCGTGTTCATTACCGTTCTAACGAAATTTCAATAAATAACATATTGATAACACATTTTTATAAACGTACGAATACTTTCGTGAGCAATTGTATATTATCCGGATTTCGTTTTAAATGCCACAACACGTTGAGCGGCACTCAGCTGTACCGGAAAGACGTCACGAGTGTTTGAATGTTTCAGTGCTGCCATCTGTGACGAAAGAGGACGAAATTGTACGAGACTAGCCGAATTGGTCAGTTGCGGTCGCCATTTTGTCGGGCAGTCATCGGGTACGTCGTGTTTCTTTCGGGTTGCTGTACTTTTTGGAACAAGCACCGCCGAAAAATTTGGGGTCCGGCACGTTCGTTCGCTCCCCCAAATGGCTTGTTTGAACACCCTTAAGCAGGAGATTAAAACTCTTGAGTCCGTCTTCCCTAAGAGCCATGAGAGATTTCAGATAATGTCTGCGAGTGTGGACGAACTCAGCTGCAGGTTCGTCGGTAAAAATGGGAAGAAATACGAAATACACGCCAATATTACAGTAAGTGTACCAAGCATGGATGCGATTTGAGACAGTAAATCGATTCGGAACAATCGACAGTATTTTCATTTTTATATGGATAGCGTGTTAAGTTTCGTCGCTGTCTACGACCGATCGGACAAAGAAACAATAACAGTCGTGTTGTTATTTGAGGCTTTTGACAAGAGCCATGCTCGGGAGCACGTATACCGTGTCTATCGTGTACGCATTGTCCTCTCCATAGTTTCTTATTGTTCTGTACGTTTTGTTGTAGTTACGATCGATCCTTTCTCACCTCAATCAGCTAGTTTCCGTGGAGATTTTCAGACGAATTAATATTGCGCTAGAGGTCAATGTATGTCACAAATAGAGGGTAAGCCCCTCGTAATGGTATCTGTTCTCTCTGTCCATTTTTGTGTTTGCAATTTGCAACAAACAAGTTCGTTTAGAATCGGTGCCATTTAGACAGTTATATCACGATTACCAAACTACTTACTAATTTTGTGTACGCCAGATAATATTTATAGATAAATTAGATAACAATGAGCATATCCATGTATGTACGTTCCTCTTACCATCGTTGCCATCATCGTTCGCTTTTTTGTTATGAAATTACTTTCAATTTTCATTTGACTACTCCGAAATTATAATAGTTAACATATTAATGCTAAAAGTAAATAATTGTTTATTCTTATAGCTGTTTATGTTGTTTAGAGTTGAGTTCATTAATTTGTAGCGATTAATTTTAGATTCGGATCCATGTAGAAAGTTTATTATCAGCGTGTGTAAACAATAAGTCATCGCGTATAATCGCGTGCGTTTAAAAAAGATTTAAGCTCTATGTTTCTTTTGTTATGGAGCTCCGAATGCAATTCGAAATTTACAATAGTTGTCTTTTCTTTCATTAAAGGTCGATTGTGAATAAAATTATTTAGCGTTTTAACAATTCGAGCGTATTCAAAACTATCTTTTCATCTTGCGTGTATCAAAACAAATGTTGGACTTAAAAATTTGATTCAAATAGATATTAGTGAAACGCATTATTGTTCTCGTTTTATCTATTCGTTTGTTACAAAATTGACAATTTTTGTTCATTTGTTTCATTGAGAAAATATGGTCTGGTATTGCTAATTAATAATATGTGATTTCTGTTACGCACATGCATGGACGTGCACCGACGCTGAGCTAACTGCAATTGCCGATAAATCCATATTTAAATATCCTGTATACGACCGTGATAAACATTCGCCGTGTATTATAGTTGATTTTTTATTAATCTTTTATTTCACGAATTATCGTCGAACACAACTATTTTACAATTTAAGAATTTTCATGTCCATTATCTTTTTTACTATAGTTTTTTTTTTAGAATCTTAAAATATTTTTTACTTTATGAGTCAGCTTTAAACACCCAATTAGGTAACTAATTTTTATCAGTAATTTTTATATGCATAACAATTGGTAAACATATTTTTTAATTTGTTAGAGGATTTTATTATTGTACACATACTTTAAAGTGGTAGTAGTTCATTTTATATTTAGACAATTTTCTGTCTTAGTTGAAATAACAAATGAACTATGTTGAGGGAAATTATAGCATTTTTTGAATAAAGTAGTTAATTGCAATATTGAAAACTATCAAGTTTATCGAAATATGTTATATAAATATTCATTATTGTTATTCAATATTATGTAAAGTAATATATCATTACATATATTACATATTATAAAAATTAAATTATGATTATTGCGGTTTTGCTTTATAAAGTGATTATATGAACTCTAATGAATGTCATAGGAAACCTATCCTTCTACACCACCAGTTTGGTTTGCGGAATCAGAGGAAACAAGTGTTACAAATGCGGTACAAATTTTAAGTACTACTACAGGCCGTGACAACCATGTCATTAATCAAGTTGGGATTCTCTTGAAAGAATTATGTAGACTGCACTCATTACCCGAACCACCCGATGTTGAACGGTTAAGGACAGCTTTGGATCCATTACGTTTAGGAGGATCGAACGAAGCAGCGGCACAAAGGATGGAAGCTGAGGATGTAGAAGATATTGATGATGATGAAGAAAGCGATGCGGAAGAAGACCTACATTTAGATATGGACGAAGGGGATGCCAATGCAAAGAGTAAGGTAAATAAAGTAACATTAAATAAAACAATTGTTTTAATACGTAGATTATACTTGTACTGTTTTATACTGATACAAATTGAATTTTTAAGGGTGAAGAAATAGAATTGGAACATCTTGCAACGTTAGAAAGGTTGAGACAAAATCAAAGACAAGATTACTTAAAAGGATCTGTCTGTGGCAGTGTGCAAGCCACAGACAGACTTATGAAAGAATTGCGCGACATTTATCGGAGTGACAGTTTCAAAAAAGGTAGTCACATGTTTTTCATTCTATAGTTGTATTAAGACAGCTTAATAATCATATTATAAAAGGAAAGTGCAGATTTATTGACATATTCAAGTATTTACTTAAATTTGTTGTAGGAATGTACAGCATAGAATTAGTAAATGACAGTTTGTATGAATGGAATGTCAGGCTGATGTGTGTTGATCCTGATTCACCTTTACACAGCGATCTCATACTTCTAAAAGAAAAGGAAGGCAAAGACAGTATTCTCCTTAACATGCTTTTTAAGGTATGTCATTAACTTGCAAGTGTTTTTATTGTATGAATTTTGTGTAAATCAAAATTATTGATTCTAGTTGTGTTTTAGATAATAAGTAATACATCATCACTTTTAAGAATCTGTTTATTATATCTTGATGTTTTAATTACGTATGATATCAATGTAGTTTGGTAAATACTTTAGAAATTTTGTTAATTCGCATGATATTGATATTTAGGTTATTGATTTTGTAAAATTAAGAAAAAATTCTTTATTCTTGTGATTGCAGGAAACTTACCCATTCGAACCCCCATTTGTCAGAGTTGTGCATCCCATGATCTCTGGTGGTTACGTCCTTATAGGAGGTGCAATTTGCATGGAACTCTTAACGAAACAAGGTTGGAGTTCAGCCTATACAGTGGAAGCAGTCATCATGCAGATTTCAGCAACACTAGTGAAGGGAAAAGCACGCATACAATTTCAAGGACCAGGTAGTGCTAGCAAAGTGTGTGGTCAGGGTCAATATAGTCTAGCCCGTGCACAACAGTCATTCAAGTCTCTTGTACAAATACATGAAAAAAATGGTAAGACGGTCATTTTATTTCTCATTTCATCGTGTATGTTAAATTTTTGCAATACGAAGAATATCTGATGAGAAAATGATGAGTTTAATGTCTAGGGTTATTTAGACGATGAATTTTTCATTATCGTTATTATATAATATGTTTTTTAATGCGCGTTTCTTTAACAATATTGACTTAAATAATTTGGGAAGGATAATTTTAGAAACATATGCTGCTTCTTTTTTTCCTTTCCTTTTTTTTTAATATAACGTCGATATTTATACGTTATATTACTATTTGCATTCCTAACTCGAGGTTTAACGATGCAATCCTATAAGATTCTGTTATGTTAGTAAGTCTTTGTATCACATGGCTCTTAATCTTTTACTTTTGACGTATGTTTTTCCATCTCTTTCTGAAATACTTGTTTCTGAAATATCTATATACATGGTATTATGTTGTTATGTATTCTTATAGGTTGGTTTACCCCTCCAAAAGAGGATGGCTAATGAACATGAATCACGGAGAAAGAAAAGTTTGACGCGTGCTTATGGCTGAGACTTTAATTCGGTGTGTGCCCAACAAATAATTGTTACGATAATGATTTGATACACAAAACACAACATTAACTAGGTAATTTAAGATACTGAATTAATCTAATGCATAATTCCATTTATAGCTGAAAAGGCTGCCGCGCAAACAGTGAAGTGTTTGATTATGTATGCATAGATTTTTCAGTAATTAGTGATTAAATCGCCAATCGCATTTGTGAATGTGAGATGTAATCATTTTTATCTGGAATTGATTCTTACGTTTGGAATTACTAAGGATCATAATTATTCCAAATAACATTAATCTTAGTTCTTTTTTCGTGAGTACACATGTTGTACGTACGTACGAAACAGTGTAAACATTCTCTGTGAAAATGCGTTTGCGCAATCCGTGCTTCCTTTCTTCCAACAGAGGGAACACGACGATTATCAACTTAGATAGTTATATTGACAATTTTTCTAAGTGTTTTTTTATCATTGTGAGCTTTCATTCGTTCCATTCTATCTTATTATATCTTAATTTTTTCATCGTGCAATTCATAAGTAAGTTTGTTTGGACATATACATTTGTTAAAAGTAGACAGTAAACGAATCTGATATGAGAATAGCGATGTTTCTGGGGGTAAAGCGAATTTTGCTATTACCTTTTGTATTTACTCGATGCTTTCATTCATTGATCAACATGATTCGATAATGTGAACGAGCACACAACTAAATCATCACAGTTCTAGAGTATTTCGAGATAGTATATGATTTTAAGAAAATTAACATCACATACAATGAGGCTTTAGAGGTTATAGTATTACTTGTAATTCTACATACTATGCAAAAGATGAAAATTCACGAATGATTCAATTTGACAGACTAATGAAATTATATATTTTCTTTTATCAAATAGAAACTTTTTACATTTTTATTTTGTTAGATATTAAAATAATAAACGTATATATTTCTAATGTTATCTTACGTTGTCTGCTTTCTAATTATTCATATTTAATCTTTAACTAATCTTTATTTGAGGTTGCATTCTGCAAAATATTTTATAATTTACGTTTTAATTGTCAAACATTCTTATAAATAAAGAAATCGTATAGCAATACTAGGTAGTATGTATTTCCTTAACATAATTGACTACTATACAGTTAAGGGTTGTATAGATGTACAGATACACGTTCGTGTGTTAATTTCTCGAAACTAATGTTCTTCGAAGTCCATATTATTTTTTCTTGAATCTAAAACTAAAAGTATGCAAAACAATGTAGGATTCACCATTTGGTTGTGTGCTTCGTTTGTCAAGCTACTTTTGTTATATCGTTTACAAAGCGGTTGATGTGTGCTTGAGATTGATATGAAGGTTTGGTCTGTATGTTGGGCGTACGCTCAAGCGAATTTTTAGTGGTATTCTATATACATATATATACACATAAATATATATCGTGACAATTTATTTGCAATTGAAGCTCTATTTACACGACGTATCGAACGTGAAATTACGCGAGTAATTGTCGAAATTTCTTTGTGCCACAGTAGAGTTTACACTGGCCAGTTAAAGGAAACGATAAGGCATAACAAGCGAACACGCGTACATTAAAGGCACCATTAGGATCGCGAAAAACGAATTACCGCTTCTTAAGAAAAAAAAAAAAGAATTATATACACATGTATTATTGCACATGTATTTGAAATTTATGAGACTATGCTATCCTCGTGCGTTTTTCTTCGTGAAAACATTTTCTTCTAACTGAACGGGTATCGTTCCCTTGTCTATAAAAGAAACAAACAATTATGGACTTCCGGTTCTTTTTTCACGATGACTTCATCCCTAGTTAACGATAGTAGTCGATAAAAATTATTATCCTTGTATGGCAAAGACCGATGGCCAAACTATTGCGTATACGTTTATTAACAAGCGAATTTCTACATTTTTAAAAACGATTGCTTTTCATATACTCGATATATCTTGATTCCACTCCCAGAACGTCTATGCGAAATGTTTCGTACATACATACATACGTACATGAAACGCGACGTACATTTTACAAGGATACATACACATACAGACACATATGCACGCACGCACGCATGCACGCACGCACGCACATGAGCGCGCGCGCAAACACATACACACACACACACACACACACTCTACACACGTCATATTATACAGAGATATACATTTACATGCGTGCATATTATGCATTCATAACACATGCTCCGATTCGTGTATATAAATATACATATTCCGTTCCTTGTGTTTCATCTTCGTACGTTGTACATATGCAAATTTGTATCAATTAGTCGACGAAACACGTTTGAACGGCGATTCGTTTGATCACTGCGCTACTGTATCTATAAATTGGAAAAAAAAAATATGGATTTGATGGGTACGTGAATTTCAACGAATAATATAATATTTTCATCGTGTAATTTAAATAATTGTAACTAATTTTTTTGAATGTTCGACACACCGAATTGCACGGGAAAATATAATATGTATCTCAGTTTATGTCTGTGAGGTTGTTCAACAAACAACGGTACGAAGATGAAGCGGTACATATGTTATTGGCAATAACGCATGTACGATGCATCCGTAAATATAATTATTGGAATAATCGAGCGAAGTAGCATGGGTCAATAGTTTCTTTTTCGTGGTGTAATTAAAAGAAAAAGAAGAAAAAAGTAAAGCAAAAAGAAAATAAGAAATCGTTTGTGAAATTCGTGCGAGCAGTTTCGTAATAAAATCTAGATTCTTAAGTATAGGTGTACAATCGATGAGCTCATTGTCAGTGGGTATCAATGATTTGTACAGCCGCACCTGACTGACACTGAGTGATGGTTGTTTTGACGTCGTTAACCGTTATGTTCTTTGTCAAAAGAAGAAAAAAAAACAAAAAAGAAGAAAAATAACTTTTCATTTCTTTCGCGTTTGTTAAGTTTTTCTTTCCTTTTAAGAATTTGCGGAGCGTATATTGTAAGCAGCCACGTGGCCTGTATATTTTTGCTACAAATATCGTTGGTAGTACCCGTTTTTAAAAATTAAACGTTCTTACGTTTCTTCTTATTATTATAAAAGTAATTACTATTATCTCTCTCTTTTTTCTTTCATATAACTCATTCGAAGTTCTTAGAGAAACTAAAAGAGCTGATGAAATATTGACGTAATAAGATCGATTAAAAGCGAATTATATTTAATGGTTTATATCAATTATCCGTAAATCCATGCTCATTTCTCTTAGCTGTTAAACGAGACGAACTCCTTCGCAGATGCAGAAGTAATGAGAATTTTTGTAAAAAAAAAGCACACGAAGCGTGTATTTTTTATTTGATCGTTACTAATATTCGATGAAATACACGAATACAAATTCGAATATGCACGAATTTGCAAATCGAAGTCCTGGCTCTTTTGTTATTTGTTACAATTTATTAAAAAGATATCTTACGACGAGTCTACCAACGATGGAAAGATATCAAGCAAAATTTCTCCTTACTTTTGCATCGAAATTATAATATAATTTACAAAAAGGAAATATACTGTGTTTCTTTGATCAAAGTAGATCGAATTTCCCTTTGGTTGTAATTACAAAGAAAACGGTGAAGAATAGCGCGTTGAAACAAAAGCGTAGTAAGTAAAAGTAAATGATTTTTTACGGATTCGCTTCTTAAATAACGAGAGTAGTTTGTATATTTGCGATATGCTTGAACGAAACTTTGAATTTTTCACGATGATTTTACAATGAACTGTCGATTTGAAGACTGGTTTAAAAAAGAAACGAAAACACTTCTTGCGTTCCTTTTTCCACTCTTAAGATTTGTGCGTTATCACGACGTTCTATTCTCTAATTGCTATGGGCGAGTAACCGAACGCTAAACGATCGGCCTGTATCGTAATGAAAGCTCTATTTTTTATGTATTTGATTTCGTGTAAAATATAGGACGATACTGGTGTTTCCGGTTAAACAGATCGGAAGAAAGATTTGCGAATATAAATGTGCCTAGTTTTCGAATGTATTTGTGGCAAAAATAGTGAATTTGTTATTAGAGGGTCTCAAGTTCTCCCTTGCTTTCCCGACACCGTGCTTTTCTAAAAATTTTTCTAAAAAGTAGCTTTTCTTAATCCGTTAAAGGCCAACATTCCATTTGCAATTTATTTGCGGTCGGTTTACTTGTATTTGAATTCTGTCTTTTAACATTATGATTATAAAAAGGATTTGTAAGCATTTATGTAATATTTTTTTGCTCGCTATTTCTTTTTCCATTTAGATCCTACAACTTTATAAAATTCAAATTTAATTATTCGTGGCGCTATAAGGAATTTTGCATTGAACACCGGCGTTGCCAATATGCGTAGTGTTCCGATATATATTTAGCCTGACAAAGGACAAATCAACGTTGCAAGTTACTTTCTCCAATCTTGCACGTTGTTTCACTGCCCGGTTCTTGATGGGTTAATTCTTTTACTCGTCTTTTTTCCCCATTAGGGACGGGGAGCAGACTATCATTTTCAGCCAAATTTCTGTCTAGCCAAACAGTGTCTTTTTACAAAAACCGACAAAGATAGGATACGTAGAATAAATGAAGAAAAAAGACAAAGAACAATCATTACACACGACTTTTCCTATCCACTGTATCTGCCTATTCAATTAATGAGTTAATCGACGAATAAAACAAAGTGAAATCGGCTCGCTATCTATGATCTTAAGGTGGTCTTACGCGTCTTAGGAACAAAAGAAAAGTAAAGATTAGCCGTCACGTAATGTATATCTCGTTAAGCGAATATTTCGATATTTCTAGTATAAACGAAGATTATACTTTGTCTCTTTCTCTCTCCTCCTCCTACTCCATACACATGCACACCTACACATAGAGCTACAAGACACAGAAAATAAAGAATTTCGATAATAAAGGCAAAAAAAGATGGTTCTTTTGATGCCAGTTAATTTTCTTCATTCCCCCTTTATTTCTTCAACGATGAGATAATACGTATAATAATAATAATAAATACGATTCTTTTATACGATCTATCGTAAATTCTGCTTTTGTAATTTTATTTTATCAATAGCACATTTTAGCAAAAGATACACGGAGGAAATTTTCTTTATTGATCTTTGCTGTAATTCCTTCGATAACGTTTTGTCGGAATAGATATATTTATGACTTTTGACAATTCCAACTGTATTTCGATCGATGACGCTTATATCGCAAAGCAGCGTAAATAATATTCATATTTAAACGCGTAAATGTCCTGGATGTGTCGTAACGAATCGAGCGAACGCAAACAGTTGCAAATTTACCACGAACAATGGAACGACCACTCGATTAATCAACGCGCGAGTACGATGTCGTAATAATTGGAAGCCTTGGAGGGACCGCGGAGGGCTTCCGCTGTCCTTCCGGATGACGCGGTGCTCGCAGGACATGGAATGTCTGCAGAAAATCGGAAGAGAGGCGACGAACACACGTCACCACTGCGGTGAGGGCAAGGACACGGCCCAGCACACGTTGCGATTTTGTCCAGCGTGGGAGGCCCCACGTTGTATTCTACGGCTAGCGATCGGCGACAGACTAGACCCCTCGTCAGTTGCGAAAGCGATGCTGAGGGGGCAACAAGAGTTGCTCGCAGTCCGTTTATATCGCGAAGACGTAATGCTCGTAAAGGAACGAACAGAGCGCGAGAGCGTGAGAGCGTCTTACCCTTGCAGGGTTCCTCGCAAGGACGACCCTGCGCTACCCAAGGAATGCTCCCTCGGACAGGAGAAGACGCAGGAGTGCTCCGGCAGTAATTCGAAAGAGGTGCCGTGGAGTTTTAGTCGGTAAAGTCTGACACTGTTACGTTTTGTTTGGCTCGTTTTGG